CTAAGTGAGAAGTCATCTTCCGAATCCTGGTCATCTTCCGAATCCGAGTCATCTTCTGAACCTTGGTCATCCTCCATGCCTCCTAACACCGCTCTAGCTCCATCCCTTGGTTCCTGAAGTTGGGCTATTTGTTCTTCAACTTGGCGAATGAAAGCAATCAGTGCTCTGCGCACTTCAAGACTCAATGGTAAGTCATCTTCCGAAGCTCGGCATCGACACATTTTGATTGTTTCTGGTGGCTCCTGGCATGATATAAAATGTTTATGAGAAAGCAGACGGTATCGCCATCCATCGTACAATATATATCAAAAACAACTACTGAAAACTGTAGATTTAACGCGAAATGATGTCGGAAGAGGAGGCATTCCATTGAATCGCTCATCCATCTCGCACACACATACATATATATATATATGTTCATTTTTCCCTCTGGTGGACTGCATTGTTCATATTTTGGGCTCATTTTTTCCTTGGGACATTTTCTCAGCAACCAAGCAAACAAAACACCGCGAACGTAAATTCGACATTCAACAAAAACAAACGAGAAACCGTATATCAAATTCGAAAGCAGATTACATAAGATGAGGTCGAAATTAGTGAATTAGATGACGGAGGAAGAAGAAGGGCCTACCTCAGCTGAGAAATCGGAGTTGGAGTTGGAGAGAGGGAGAGGGAGAGGGAGAGGAAGAAATTTAAAGTGCGCGCGTTTACGGACGCGGTTTGTGCCGTTGGGAATGGGATTCCGCAGCCATTTGGGTCATTAGCAGCGGATTTATTTGAAACAAAATATGTTTGTGGAGATGGCCCAAAACGATAATTGGGTTACAAATTTGTTGGAGCCTAGGAGGAGTCCAATACTGCTAAAGCCCATTTTTCCATTAGGGGAAATTTCTCCTTTTTAGTTAATTTTATAGTGTTCTCGAGAGTATATTTAAGTTAAGTCAAACAATGATTAACCAGATTCAAATATTGAACTCGTCGTTTATAAACCGAACCTGAGACCTCCCTAAAGAATGGAATACCATTAATAGGTAGTGCTAGTTGTAGAAAGCTTTTGAAAATGTCATATTCCAATGTTTCTATTATTCTATTACGAGAAAAATCAGTCTTTAATTTTGAGATGAACTTTGACACTAGAGATTTTTGAAAAGTTCGTATTTTCCTTTTCTTATATGAGTGATAACGTGAGAGGAGAGTTTGAACGCATGACCTTATGCAAGAGTAAATGTTTTATTAACTAATTAAGTTTACATACATATCCCTGACAACATATCTCTAACATAAACTAAATATATTGTTATTTTTGCATATGGGGTTAGACAAGTTGGTTTGGGTAGAATATGTCTCTCGTGCACTCCAGTTTAAAATCATTTTCATGAATAATAGTAGTATAGAATATCACACTATCCCAAAAAAAAAAATCATTAGATCCTAAAATAGTTAGAATCTTAAAAGGCTAGTGTCACCGTCTCACCGTCTCACCCTCAAATACTTTCACAATTATTTTTAAAATAAACGTATCCAAAAACCATTATTTTAAAAATAAATGTAGCCATTCAACTTTATAATTATCGTCAACTTACAACCACCATCATTCAAATTAATAATCAACACTCATCATTATCACTATATTTACACTCAACGAATTTCATGGTTGAATGTCATAGTCATAGTCATAACCATAAAGTAAGAGTATCAATTCATAAATTCTAATCAAAACTCTAAATCATATCCTTTTCCTTGGCTAAAAAAACTATCACATTCCTATTGGTTTCCAAATCTCAAGTGCCATATTCAAATGCTAGTTTATATGTTTTTCACATACTATGTCATATTCATAGCAAGGCCTTGTTGCAATATTTTTAGGTCAATGCCCTTGTTACACTATAGGACAAAGCAAAAGCCACATTAAGTTGTACACCAACATAAAATTATTAGAGAGGGATTTGGATCCTCTCTTGAGCTAATTGAGAGGATCTTCTTGACCAAACATTGTGGACCGTTGAATTTTTATCCAACGGCTATAATTATTATAATTTTAAAGGGATCTCCCTGTTTGTAACCGTTGGATAAAAATCAACGACCCACCATGCTTGGTTAGGAGGATCCTCTCCATTAGCTCATGAGAAGATCCAAATCCATTAGAGAGAGCTTGCATGCCATATATTCTATCATTACCTCAACCAACAAACCTCTCATTCAATCGAAGCACTTGAGTTGAAGATTTCAAGATTATGAGATGGATTTACATTAATTAATTAATTAATTAAACGACCTTATAAAACAACTCAAAAGACAAAAGCCCTCCTCATCCTTCGTAACTTCGAGAGCACCTTATATATAGCAGGTTTATCATAATACAATTGTATTATCATAGTTAGTGTACTAGATTGTGCTTTTGACATCCAAAAAAACTCTCCTCACTTACTTGTAGTTGGAGAGCAAATGAAACAATAAAACAAGTTAAAAGTTGGGTTTGCTACTCAGTATTACAGTCTGGTGATATTCATCTTAACTTGAAGTCATATGTTCGAATCTCGTGAATGTCGAATTCGATACCAAATTAGACTGTCCATTGTGTGGCTTAACCGAACTCATTTTCTCCTTAATGTGAAAATATCGATGATGTATTAAAGAAAAAGCTGTATTTTGTAGAATTGTTTATTGCTGTTTGATCAACATGCGCACATTCGGAGATCATGGCCGTTGGGAGACTGTGCTGGCAGTGAGAGAATGAGATCTCACAGTATTTCAGTATTTGTTCATTAAGGGTGCGTTTGTTGCACCGGACTATCTCGGACTGGATTAGCTTCAGGGACTAAGCTGGACTGGCTTAGACTAGACTAAGCTGGACTGGCTTAGACTAGACTAAGCTGGACTGATTTAGTGAAGCGTTTGGTGCAGTGTCGGACTAAAAAGAAGGATAATAACAAACTACAATATTTTATATTTTTTAATTCATATCTAATAATATTATATTAATTAATTCTATCTTTTTTTCTTCTAATAATACTCTCCCTCTCTCTGGAAGCCTCCATCATTTTCTTCCTCGATCTCTCCGTCCCACACTCTCCGTCCCTTTCCTTTTTTTTCTGATTAATTGCCAAAACTGATTAATTGCCAAAAAAATTCTGCAAAATGAAAAATTGAGCTTCGTTTTTCTGGTTTTTGTTCATGGGATCGTCGGGCTTGTCCACCAGAGGAGGAGAAAAACGAAGAGGAAGACCCGGTGGGACAAATCGAAGAGGAAGACCCGGTGGACAAATCGAAGAGGAAGACCCGGTGGACAAACGAGAAAAACGAAGCTCGATTCTTCATTTTGCAGAATTCGGAGGTTGTGGACTCCGAATCTGGGGTTGGATTCTGTCTTCTCTGCTGCTGTTTTTTTGTTTGGATTCTGTCTTCTTTGTTAAATTTGTCTCTGTTTGTGGGTTGTGGAAGGTTGTGGACTCCGAATATGGGGTTGGATGTTTTGGATTTTTTAATGTGCGAGGCAGTGAGGAAGAAGGAAATGAGAGCGGCGATTTACGAGGACGCAGTGGTTGTCCTGGGATGGTCCGGTGAGGTTGTCGAGCAGGGTGAGCAGTCGAGCAAAGCGCTAAGGAGTCGAGCAGAGCAACGATCTTAGCAATCTGGTGGTATTTGGGGGGTCTCGCTAAGACTACCTAGCGAGCCCTGTAGTCCACACGAGTCCCCTTTAGTCCCACCTAACTTAGTCCCAACACCTATCAAACATGGGACTGTAGTCCAGTCCAGTCCATTCCCTCATAAGGAGGTGAAACAAACGCCCCCTAATTGATTTCAAAGTCCTCCGCGGCCTCGTTATTTGACTATTCTTTTTTTTTTTTTCTTTTTTCATACAAAAACTTTGTTTATTCACCTCCCCTTGATGCAAAATTAACACAACTAAGCAGTACTTCAACTGCAAAAAATTTTAACCTAACAGAGTGAAAGCCTTGTTGGTCAAGCAATGCAGGTCTTTTTACATGTTAGGCGTGAGCACCCTCTCAATAAGATTTTTCATTTTGCTTTTAGCTTATTAGGTATTAGCCACCGTTGCCAGCTGTTGTTTCCACATACGGAACATGTTTAAGAATGAAACTTAAAAGAATTGACGGGAGCTCAAACAAGCGGTGAATCATGCGATTTAATTCGATGCAAAGCAAAGAAACTTACTAGGGCTTAACATGCTATGTAACATCTCACATCGTCCAGGAGAGTGAATTTTGTAATCCTTATATGTATATTCACATCTCTACCTAACATGAGGCCTTTTGGGAACTCACTGGTTTCAGGTTCTATCGGAAATCCGAAGTTAAGCGAGTTTGTGCGAGAGCAATCCCAGGATGGATGACCCACTGAGAAGTTCTCGTGTGAGTTCCTATAAACAAAACCGTGAAGGCGTGATCGGAACACAAAACGAACAATATCGTGTTACGGCATAGTTAAACCCGAGATGTGGTGGGATCCCGAGCCGGGATGTGACATGCTAAGAATCCTCTTGAAAGGGAGGGGCGCCTTTGGCAACACAAACACAAATAGTGTACACAATAAGTTTTACCTAAAATCAAGTTTACAGCTTGGAACGGTTTCTATGGAAAACAACTTAAAGGGGTTGTTCTTTAATATAATTAAAAAAATTGTGGTTAGTTGCCCTCAAATTTTTATACTTTTGCTTGAAAACAAAGAAAATATACATTGAATATAAGTTATTTTTAATTTTAACACATATGATAATACGTGGGGAAACTGAACATAAAAAAAGAGTAGAAGTAAACTTGCACATCAAATAAGAGTTTTTTTTTTTCCCAAACACATCAAGTAAGAGTTTGAATAATATCTTTGAAAAAAAAAAGAGTATGAATAATATATGTTGAGAACATTACTAAAATTCAATTAGGAGAAAAAAACAAGAAGTAAAAATTCAAAACAAAATGATACACAGGAAGGAACAGCTAAGAGCCAGGCGTTACATATGCTAAGCATAAAATTTGTGATCATGCTGTGAAGTAATTTTGCAATCATTGTTTTTTGGCAACTCTGCATGTGTAGTCTCTCACTGGTCACTGGAGAGATAGAGAGAGACAGACAGGCTACTTCCGAAGTCGCCCCCACGTTAACTAGCGTGTTTTGTGGATTTGTAACTTTTTTTCCTCCCGCTCTCTACCTTTTTTCACGAAAATATCAAACTTTCTCAGGAACCATTGCGGCATTCGAATATTCAATCATTTACGAGATAGGTACGAATTTGTTCGAGCATTTAGTTTCTGGGTTTTGTTTTTGAACTGTTTTAAAGATCTGGGTTGCTGCATTTGCCCAGTAAAGTTATGAACTTTGTAGTGTAGATCTGGGTTTTAAAGCTTGAAGCTTGCCGATGGTGGGTTTTTTTGATCTGATTTGTGCTCAAATTTTGGGGTTTTGGTTGTTAAATTTGTTCTTTCGGGGGTTCTGTGAACTGGGTAGTGCTTAGATTCTGTGAATTTTGGTTGATCTGAAACTTTCCGGGGCTTTGGGAAACAGTGAAGGAGTTAGAAGAAGACATTGGATTTTGCCTGGAAATTTTGAATTAGGACATTTGGGGATTTTATTTTTGTGATGTAATGGCATCTGTTGTATAATCATCAGTGAAAGTCACTATTGTTGTCATTGAATTTGGAAAGTTTGGTGATGGAATTGATATAATAAGCCAAAAAATAAGCAAAATTTAGCATTCAATTCCACACAAACATGTCTTCAACAACCTCACCTTCTCCAAATTCTTCCCCTTCTGCGGTCCCACCAACTTCACCTGATACCTCGTCACCACCCCCATCAAATTCTTCAACTACCCCAACTACCACTGCAACCCCTTCTGACGCTTCACCTCCCCGTGCCCAATCTCCTCCTCCAGCATCACCAGCTGCTCCCACTCCAAAATCGTCACCACCGCCGTCCACTCCGCCACCAACTTCACCACCGCCTTCCACGCCTCAGGCTCCACCACCTTCCACGCCTCAGGCTCCACCGCCTTCCACACCGCAGGTTCCACCGCCTTCCACTCCTCAGGCTCCACCACCATCCCCTCCACAGTCTCCACCCCCATCATCTCCGGCATCACCCCCGCCATCACCTCCTCCAGCATCACCACCACCTTCTCCACCAGCTGCCTCTCCTCCGGCTACGTCTGAATCCCCACCACCTGCATCAAAGGGTTCTCCCCCTCCCAAATCTTCCCCACGTCCAGCACAAGCCTCACCTCCACCTAAGTCCACAGAGTCACCACCTCCTCCAGCTGATGTCCCGCCCCCTTCGTCCGCTTCTCCACCACCACCACAAGGAGAAACACCAAAAAAATCTCCTCCATCCCCCACTGTCACACCTCCTCCATCTGGCTCCAAATCTGCTCCTCCACCAGCCGATAAATCTCCCCCTGCACCCACGGTGCAATCACCACCTCCTTCGGTCCCTTCATCTTCTTCACCTCCTGTTACTTCTCCTACCCTGCCTAGTAGTAATTCGTCAAGTCCCCCTCCCTTACCACAGAAGCCAACTGCAAGGTCAACCACTGGTGCCAATGTGACATCAAATGCCACATCTGGAAAGAAAGGAGGGTTAAACACTGGAGGAGCTGTGGCAATTGGAGTTGTAGTTGGATTCCTGGTGCTCAGTCTTGTTGTCATGGCGGTGTGGTACAGAAAGAAGCAGAAGAAAGGAAGAGCTGGAGAAAATTTTGCGTACAACATGCCTTCCCCCTTTGCTTCATCCCAGAATTCAGGTAACTCATTGAGCATGCACTACTTGAATGATATCATTTTCTTTTTTTTGTTCGCTGACACTTTTTCAAACTTGCTTCATTGACAAGGAACTGTAGCAGCTGTTTTATACGAATTGGATGAGCTTGCTTATTAAAAATTGCTTTATTTTCTTGTTGGTTTCTGCCATTCTACTTTCTTTTAGCACCATTAGTTCTTATACGACCTTTAGGCTTTAACATTGTAGAAAATCATATTAGAAGTAAGCTTTTGAGTTAGCTAGCAAGCTTTAGTTGAATGTGCGATGAGGTAATTGGATTCAAACTAATGAACTTTTTTCTGCTCTCCAGATTCGGTATTTCTTAAGCCTTATTCTCCAGCTCCCCTCCTAGGAAATAGTTCTGGCAGTGATTTGATATATGCACAATCGGATGGTGGCGTAAACAATTCAAAGTCATGGTTCACATACGAAGAACTAAGCAAAGCCACAAATGGGTTTCAAAACAGAACCTTTTGGGCGAAGGTGGATTTGGTTGTGTATACAAAGGTGTTTTGGAAGACGAAAGAGAAGTTGCTGTAAAACAGCTCAAAATTGGTGGGGGACAAGGGGAACGTGAGTTTAAAGCTGAAGTTGAAATTATTAGTCGAGTACACCATCGCCATTTGGTTTCCCTGGTTGGTTATTGTATATCTGAGCATCAAAGGTTGCTTGTCTACGACTTCGTTCCAAATGATACACTTCATTACCATCTTCATGGTGAGTCTTCTGATTTTGAAAGCAAGACCAATCTAATATGTTCAGGAACAAAATTAGGGGGCTTGTGTTATATCCTGTTGGGTTTGATATAGATGTCTTTTAATTGAATTATTAACTAGTATTCTTATAAGTGATGGCTACGTTAACCTGTGCCAAATAACTTGCTAATGCTGCAAATGGTGCTTGGTAATTTATGCTTCAAAGTCAATGCATGTAGTTCTCTTGTCTACATGGGGTAAATGTGAAGCATAATTTTGAAGTGTAATTCTCGTTTGTCTGTAAGCATCTTGTGAAAAATTGTACCTCTTTTAACTTCCCTCTATTGAAAACTGCAGGTGAGGGCATGCCGGTTCTGGATTGGGCAACCAGAGTCAAGGTTGCTGCTGGTGCAGCTCGTGGAATAGCTTACTTACATGAAGATTGTGAGTTTATTCTTCTGTTCTCGACCTCCCAATTTCAGATTTGACTTTTCTAGACCTTGGTTTGTTCGAGTACAAACACTGGCAACTGTTCTATTATTTGTTAATTCAATGAACAGTATCCTTTCCTTTTGCCATAAATTTCCATTCTGTACAAACAGTGATTGATTCTATGCAACAGCCATTAGTCAATAATCATACAGAAACTAAGTGTAAGCGAGGGCCCTGTACATGAGAGTTTATGGTTCACACTAATTTCCAAGGCCTTCAACTCTCCGAGTAATATTAACAATTGGGAAAGAATTTCTTTGCTGTCAACACAATGACATCTTTCATACAAACAAGCTTCATTTCTGAATTTAATTGTGCTCTATGCTTTAAAGTTTTTATTTCCAATATGGTAACCCAACGGCTAGTTATATAAATGAAATAAATCTTTATACATATAAAAGTAGCTATTTTCACTCAAAGTTGTGCAAAGTTTGTTTATCCATCGCTGTATTTATTGTCAGGCCTTCGAGCATCTTATTCTCTCTTTCTCATTATTTTGTTTTAATGTGTTTATCAGGTCATCCTCGCATTATTCACAGAGATATTAAGTCGTCAAACATCCTTTTGGATAGCAACTTTGAAGCTCAGGTATGTCTGTTTATATAACCATAATTTTCATGAAAAAAAGCTTGTATCAGGTTATAGTGGTTGCTTGTAGTGCTTGTAACACGAACCCATTTCCACCTACTTCTAAGCAAGAGCCGTTTAGTAGCCTGATAATCATATTCTCCTCTTACAGTAACTGACAGCCAGAGCTTGGTTTTGCTGTTTCCGATTGCTAGTCATTTGATAGCAATTAATGTTCTAAAGATGAATTTTCTCTTACTAACAGGTTGCAGATTTTGGGCTTGCAAAGCTAACGTTGGATTCAAATACTCATGTGACCACAAGAGTAATGGGAACATTCGGGTAGATTTCTTCACTTTATTGGATTAGGATCCTCCCCATTTCTTCAATCTTTCTATTCATGGCATCACTTACGTTCTGATGAATGGAATTGTGTGATTTTTAGATACATGGCACCAGAATATGCAACAAGTGGAAAGTTGACGGACAAGTCTGATGTTTACTCTTATGGTGTTGTGCTATTGGAGCTAATTACAGGTCGCAAACCGGTGGATTCTTCTCAGCCATTGGGTGATGAGAGCCTAGTTGAATGGGTAAATTCATAAACATTGTTGCTATCTCCCTGTAGGTGGTGGGAGTTAATTCTTTTCAAAAGTGCGTCTATGCAAATCCTTGCGATACTATTTTTTGCCAAATTCCGTATTTTTCTTTTTCCATCAATTACGGAGGGGTTGAATTGTGTTTAGAATTTTAAAAGGATCAAGTCCAAAATTTTTATTCTCAGTTATGCATGTCATTACTGAGAATTCTCAAATGGCTCAAGTCAAAAGTTGTTAGTCTTGTAATTCTCAAATGGCGCGTTTAGATTACTGCTTTCCGTTGGGCATGTTTGCCTTGGAGATTTTACCTGTATTATGCTTACACTTTGATGGATTGTTGTGGTTCAATCTGGCACGGTTAAGTCCTAGATTATAATATCTAATTTTTCTTCCAGGCTCGACCTTTGCTTAGTCAAGCACTTGAAAGTGAAGACTTCGAAGGGCTGGCAGATCCAAGGCTGGAAAAGAATTACATCGAGAATGAAATGTTCCGAATGATTGAAGCAGCTTCAGCTTGTGTGCGTCATTCAGCTGCGAAAAGGCCACGGATGAGACAGGTATTTACAAAATATTGCATGACACTCACCCACATTTACATGTACAGCAGATAACTAATAATCGTCGTTACTTTCCTAGGTGGTAAGGGCTTTCGACTCCTTAGATGAATTATCAGATCTCAGTAACGGAATGAAACCTGGCCAGAGCGAAATATTTGATTCTGCAGAACACTCTGCACAAATTAGAATGTTTCAGAGGATGGCATTCGGTAGTCAAGACAACAGTACGAGTTTTTTCAATCAAAGTCAGAGTAGCTGGAAAAGTAGGGACTCCCGAGAGCAAGGGTACCAGAATCAGAGAAGCTGGGCGAGTAGAGACTCTCGGGAGCATGGGGATCAAACTCAGAGCAGCTGGAGTCGAGACCAGAGAGACGCGAGAAACCCGAGTACTTCGATATCCATAGATAGATCTGGGATATGGAACAACTGAGAGTTCAACCAACTGTTTGAGCCAGGCTAAGCTGTGTTGTGCTGCTCATTTCTTGTAAATCCTACACATATCATATCATTTTTCCATTTATTTTTTGTATTCTCTGCTAACATGATTTTGTTGCCAGGATCCCAATTTCTGTATTCTTTTTGTAATTTAGATTCATTGATGCAGTATATTGTATCTGTATTTGTTGTTTTAATAGAAGTATATAATTTTATTATTCTGAATTATCTTCTCTCCAAATTACTATGCATTAAAGTTTTTCCCGCTCTCAGAAAAGTAGCACGCCTCTATACCCTTCTCGGCCATGTGACTAAGATTAAGATAATCTGTATCTCCTAGTTGTAGATGACAGACACTTATATACCTTTCTCCGCCTTTTAGTTAAGATCAAAATAAGATGCAACTGTGTGGGCTGTATATGCAACCGGTTAATCTTAACATTTCTTGAATCAAAAGCAAAAACGAAAGGCAAACATGTCAACCACAAACTAATAAGGGTCTTTTCATTCCAAGTATAAAGGGATGGTTGGTCCGAGTCCTCATTCAAAATGAAGGTACGTACTAGAATACGGTTCTCACAAAGTTCCCGAAATTCCATTTTTTGTCACCGTATTTAATTTTGTTCATCAAACTATGTGTTATGGGCAGTGGATTTTGAGGACATGAAGAAGCTAATGAGAGATGAAGAAATAAGCCAATTGGAGTGAGTGGTTGTTGCAAAGATGGGTGATTTGGATGGTCTTTGTGATGCTTTTAGAGGATGCCATGCAATTTTTCACACCTCCTCCTTTATTGATTCACACGATATCTTCAGTTATTCGATGATTTTGAGTGTTCGCTTGCACCAGAGTTTGATACTCCTTCAAGTGGATGGACTAGTTTAGAATAATTTTCTAAAATTTTGTGCATGTATATGAAACTCGGGAACAAATGACATTTCTTGAAACTGAAGGGGCAAGAAATGTTATTGAAGTAGTCATTTCCTCTCTTTTGCTGCCATTTGGACTTGAAGAAGCGACTATGAAGACAAGAATATCATTTTGATGAGTTTAGCTGAACCAATTAGGAATCATGCAAAGAAAACAAGGTATACAAATATAAATATATAAATATTTGAGGCCTTGGAGTGAATTTTGTATTTGATAATTATTCACACCAAATAAGATTGTAACAAATTCATAATTTTATTGTCATCGCCATTCTAAGGAAGGTATCTTGCAATTCAAATAATTTTTTTTTTTTTTAGAATTAATGCATGATGAATTTTTTGAAGTGCCGAGAACGGCTTCCAATAAATAATCAGGACAAAGGGAAAGAAAATATTCAAAACAAATTGGTAAAATTGAGTAAATCTAGGAATAATTGGGCTTTCACTTTTGTTTTTCTGAGATCAAAAAATTATTGGACCTAATTGAAAAACATCAAACCCAAAAGGCCAACTTACCTAACTGAATTAAGAAAACGTCCTCCGAACGACGTCGTCGGGCGTCGAAGGAAAGGAATAGGAGAGTGTGGAGAGTTCGGTTGCGCCGCAAGAAAACTAACCAGTACAAAACGACTCCCTATCTCTCTCTGTGATCGGAAGAACTAACGAACGGAATCAAACCAATCAATCAAGCGATCGAGAAATCAAGAAGTGAAGAAATGGGGGAAGAGAGAGAGGACCCACAGCAGCTGAAGAGAGTGGCGGCGGCGGCCTACGACTACGAGAACGACCCCAGATGGGCCGACTACTGGTCCAACATCCTCATCCCTACTCACATGTCCTCCCGCAGCGACGTCATCGACCATTTCAAGCGCAAGTTCTATCAACGCTACATCGTCCGTTCTCTCTCTCTCTCCCTCTCTCTCTCTCTCTCTCTCTCTCTTCTTTATGCAGTTTCTTTAATCTAAGTGATTACCCTGTATCGATTGGTTGTTAATTAGCATTTATTTCTTCGGAATTTGGACTCTGAACACTTGAATCTCAATTGGGTTTCTTCTGTTTTGTGCAATTCGGGTCGGTTTTCCAATTGGGTAATTGTGGGTTTTGTACTCTGTTTCTTTGTTTGATGATAATTTGGGTTATTGGTTTTGCTTTCTCCGAATCCTCGATCTTTACTGCAGGGGTTTTTCTTTGAATGGCAAGATTTTACGTTTTGGGAATTCGAATTGGAGGTGCTTGAATGCATGCTGGCCCGCTATAGAACCTCATTCGAATGTAGGGGTTCGATTTTGGAAAGTTTATGCAGGATTCAGTAGCTCTTTCAATTGTTGATTGTTGATTCAGTTGATTTCTTTTCTATTAGATTTCTGAGTATAAGTGAGATCTTGCTACCTCGTTTCCAAACGAATAGTTTTTGACACATGAGTGCAACTTTAAAGTCAACATTTGGTTGAAGAATTATGCTTTAGGGAATTCCGTTTGTAGTTTATCATAGATTAAGAGTGCCTTGTTGGTAGATGTTTTGGGGGAATGTAATTTGGTCGGAGATGGATGGATTTTGTTAGATTTTTCTTAATTCCGTGCATCTTAACAAAGTTTGTACTTGGATTTTGTGAATAGGATCCTGAGCTTATGGTAGACGCAATGTCATCAGGCAGTTCTTCTCAGCCAAAGAGACCATCTGTATCGTCCCGGACAACAAATGACCAAACTCAGCCCCGTAGCGCAGGTTGGAATGCTTTAATTTTTTGGGTACAAAAGTTAGATTTGCCTAAATTGCTGTTTCCCTTAGAAGAAATGAAATTTATCTTAAAAGAAAACTCTAGTTGCTTTCAGTAGCCTGGAATTTGTTGATTATAGTGAATTGACCTTGAATTGGTGCTTGTAGGTTCAACTCCCAGAACTCCAGGGACAGCAGCAGCAGCTCCTCCAACTTCTCTGCGTTGGGATCGAAAAACCATTCAGTTTTCTGTAAATGCTTGGGTACAATCAAGTCTACTCATGCATTGATAGATAGACACGAGTAACCTATATAAACACGCGTTTATATCCACATATATGCACAGAGAATCAGCTTTCTTTTATTTTCTTATCTATCTGTCAAACTATTTCCTTATAAGGCGTATGATGTTTATAAATCAGCATGATTTTGAAGAAATGTCATATGACTTATGGTAGGTTTTTTTGTTTGTTATTGACCATTCACAGTGTATCTTGTTCCCTTGCAACCATGTTGTCTATTGACAGTCTCATAAACAGTTTTCTGTAGAGTTTACGTTTTACTTTTTATTAACTGCTTATTCACTTCTCTGAGCCTGAATTATTCTATCTTTTGACTCTATGGTTTTTCAAATGCAAAGAAACTGCTGTAATGTCATTCTGGTTCAGTTGGGCAAGGGTCTTTCTTTATGACAACTATGTGTGCCTCTTTTGAATCCAAAACTTACTTTACCAATTTAGAGAAAAAAGTTCAAACCATTCATAATTTAGGCGTTAAAAATGGCCTCTTGCTAAGTTCTGCTTAGAGTTTAATAAGTCTCTGTTGTTATTGGTTCAGTTTGTTTGTCTTTCTTCCCCGCAGGTGTTTCTTGTGGCTGTGCTTGCAATTTTCCCACTGGTGCCTAAAAACCTTTCAGATAGGGCGTATCGGCTTTCCTTTATGGGCACTGCATGTTCGTCTCTGTATTCCTTGTACTCACTGTATGGGGTAGATATACTTTCTCATATTCACTTGCTTCTGACATCATTAATTTGGATATGCTGCCCTTGTTCATAATTTATTAACGCACCCTTTACTTTTCAGAAACCAAGGGCTTGGAACTTGCAGGCTTTGCAAGTTTACTTTCAGTCAATAATCACGACTAAGGATTTTATCTACTTGATATACTGCATTACCTTTGTCACATCACATCTTTGCCTAAAATGTGAGCATTCCTTAAATCCTCAAGTTTCCTTCTCTATTTTCTTCTTTCTATGTTTTCAACCTAAGTTAGCCTCATTTTCTTGTGATGTCTAGTTTAATGGTGCGATCTTTATTGCAGTTGCACTGATTCCCATTCTCTGTCGGGCTCTTGAACATGTTGCCAAGTTCCTTAGGCGCAATTTTAGTCAATCCTCATTGTACAGGTAGAAGAGTTGATGTTTAACAATGTTGCTTGATATTTTCTTTTGGTGTTTGAATCCAAGTTTTATTAAGTTGAGAATTGGTAATTCTGAGTGCTGGGCATGAGGATTGTTTTCAGGATTCTTGTAGTGCTTTTACTTTTGGTTTGATGTTCAGTCCAGTCTTACTAAATAATACCTTACCGACGATGAGTTGAAATCTACTTGTGTTCTTTACTAAGCAATCTATTTCTCTTTCTGTCATGGTGAACAGGAAGTACCTGGAAGAGCCTTGTGTTTGGGTGGAGTCTAATACAACTACCCTCAGCATACTCTCTTCACATGCTGAGGTCGGAGTTGGCTTCCTTCTGATTATATCATTGTTCTCGTGAGTTGCTTGGAACCATTTTCTCTGCTGCTTTTTTACCAGTCACAGATGTGTTCTTATTCCATTGTTATTATGCTTTTGACTTCTAACATTTCGTAATTTGTGATGTATATTTGTAGGTGGCAGCGCAACATTGTACAGGCATTCATGTACTGGCAGGTGCGTGTGTTTCCGTTCTTTTCTTCATAATTATGGTTATGGAATGGTATCTTTGTTCCTGAAGCTAAATTGTTTCGATTATATTGAACACACACACACACACACACACACACACACACACACACACACCCCACAAACACACAAATGGATACAAGCACATGAAAGTATGCACCGAGTTAGTGCCCCTTGCATCACATTTCAAACGTTGTTCTTCTGATATCTCAACCTTATATCAGAGCCTAATGAATTTCCTCCGTCCTTGCCTCCTTGGAACACATTTTACAGCTATTGAAGCTCATGTATCATGCCCCAGCGACTGCTGACTACCATCTGAGCGTGTGGACTAAGATCGGAAGGACAGTTCATCCCCTCATCCACCGCTATGCTCGGTTCCTGGAAACTCCTCTTTCTGCTGTTCAGAGATGGTGGTTGAGGTAGGGAGTACTCGGAGACTCGGAAGAAGAGGATGAGATATGAGGGGAAGGACGTCGATGGAAATTACCTTGAATTCCTGTAAACGATAAACTGACGTCTGATATACTGAATTTGTCGAAACTGTCATTTGGATTCTAGATGGATAAAGAGTATATCTACCGAGGTGGTGTCGATTCTGTAGTTTTACTTCGAATTAGGGTTCTCAGTTCTCCCTACAAATTTTATAATGCTCCGGAGTATACGATACTCTGAGATTATTAATCATTAAATATTGTTTTTCGTGTGTGTTTAACTAAAATTTTAACCATGGAAGGGTTTAAGCGGGCGCGGAGATGCTCTCATGATCGTCCACATAAAAAGAAACGATTCTTTGACCTAATTATTTTTTTTTCTTTTTATAAATATTATCTTGTATGTTAAATAAATATATTTTATTCAATTGAAATAAATGAAGTGGAAAATGAAATAATTGAGCAGCAAACTTGATTATTTCTTACGCGAATCGTTAGATCGACAAAAAACGATACAAAATAATAGATTTTCGGGTTAACTGTAAATGAGTAGGATTGTTATTGGGTTTTAACGAGTCAACTTGTTATTGGATCATCCGTTAAGAATACGATAAGATAACGTTATCAAATTTAGACACCATGCATGACAATTTTTTGCATGACGTGTTTATCCAACACGAAACAATACAACTTGTTAACAAATCGGAAATTTAACGAATCGCTTGTTAGAACCCGTTAAGATAAAGAGTTTGACACGTCACGTCCAGTTAAAATAACGTGTATGACACCAAAACGACACTAAACAAGACAAACACTTTTGCCACATAAGAGCATCTCCAAAGGAGATGCCAAAATGTACACATCAGTTATAACAGTAAAAAAAGACCACACTAATATTCTCCAACCGAAGTGCCAAATCCTATTGTGACGATGACATGGATTGGCAGCAAAATAGGTTGTTGTCAAATTTGACAGTAGCTTCAAATGTTTTTTTTCTTAATTATTAAATGTATTTTATTAATTTTTAATTAGTTCAATTATTTATTATAATTAATGTTGAGTTGATCGATGCAATTATCATACTTTTTTCTTCTTTTCAATCAAGGAAGGTGAACAGATTACTGATTAATCTTTAAATGTCCTTTATTAAATTTTAATTAGTTTAATAATTTATTTTATAAAATAATAATTTAATTTGACATATTAGTTAGAGAACAAAACTTTAAAAGATGTTAAAGTACCGTATAAACTGTCAAAATTTAAATTTTATGTTCAAAATTACGCAACTGTAAATTGTGGGCCTGAATATTTATTTCATTGTTACTTTTTTATACATCTTTAATTTTTATTTTCTTGTACCTTTCAGGTTCCAACGGTTCGAGGCTTCCAGTTGTCAACCGCGAGCTTCAAAATTAACGGTTTAACGGTAACTTAGTGAAAATATTGCCAACCGAAATTAGCAACCAATGACCAAAAAAATCCTAAAAGACAATTTCAGATCCATTTCTTTTACTAAATACTGGAGCTATCATCCAGCTATATATCCAGCAGCAATGGCGTCGGAAACCGATCGTCTTCTCCGGCATTCTTTCACTTCCGAGGCAGACGTCATGGCGGAAGATGCGGACGCAGCGACGCCCTTCCTTTCTAGGTTTTTGAGCTATCCTATTGCTAATACCAATACATCGAGCCACAAGAGGCGTCGCAGGCTCGCCAAGAAACAAGCCTCCGCCGCGCCTCGGCCTCACCGGCAGCAGTCGTTCAGCCACGACATTGGCCACGCTGCCAAAGAGACATACTTGATTACTAGCCTCAGCTTCAAGCTCCTTCAATGCCTCGGGTACCTGTTCTTCTTCTTCTCCTTCTTCTTTAGCTCCTCCTAGCTTCACTTTGCTCAATTATTGGATTTAAGCTCTGTTTGGTTGCCAAGAAAATTGTAGGAAACCGAAAGAAAATTGAAATGTAGGACAAAAAATTAACCAGTCTAGCAAATTTGTGAATTATATTTAAGTTTTGTGTTCGATTATTTCTAATCATTTATTTTCTTTCAGGCTAGGCTACCTGTGGATCACAAAGTTACTTGCTCTTGGTTGTTATGCTATGTTACTTATGCCCGGATTTCTTCAAGGTGTGTGTGTTTATGTAACTTCTTGCTATTACATATTCATTGCCCGTATAAATTGTTCCCCTTTTCGTTATCCGTTTTGAATTTCGTCAAATAATAGTATCTACTGATCAAACTTATAAGAAAATTGTCGGTTATCCTGCTTAAAATAAAAAAGCATCCGCTCAGATGCTACCACATTTGATGAGCTTCACTATCATGATTTGTTTGGTTTGTTGCTAATCGATGAAAGAACTTGCCACCTGGATGGGATTTTGGACCATCGAGATCATCTTTCAGAAAAGCTCCAAGTTTGATTACTGTTGTTGATGTATTTCAGTATTCTCATCTCTAAGACTTCAGTAGACTCATCTCCGTTGATTTCACACTACCGTGCCATGATATTCTTTTGACGTGACCTACTTCCTGAACGTAGATTTGTCTGCTTAACATGATTAGAGTTTCTGTTTTTATTTGTTTTGTTCTTTTAATGTAGTGAGTAGTGAGCTGTGCATTTGACCGGAATATAACTTGTTTGTTGATTTTTCTTCAGTTGCTATATGTTATTTCTTTTCAAGCCAGGTCCGGCGTAGTATTGTGTATGGAGATCAACCAAGAAATAGGTAGGTTGAATTTGTGAAGGGAAATTAAACAGTTCATTGCGATTTTGTCAACCTCTGTGCACTTATTTATGTCATGTATCATTTACAGGTTGGATCTATATTTACCTGCAAATAGTGATGGAAAAAAACCGGTAGTAGTATTTGTAACTGGTGGGGCCTGGATAATTGGGTGAGTGATTTTAAATAGATGTTAGCTGTTAGCTCATCAATTCTTATAAGTTTTGTTCTTGAATTAGTACAACGGCCTGGAGATGATATTCTCTTCGTTTTTTGGGGTATCATGCAAAACATCTTTAGGTGAAGCTTCTGGTTATATATATGTGGTCATTTTTTTAGTTGTTTGACATTAAGTTTCTATAGTTTCATGCTGGTTTAGGTATAAAGCTTGGGGTTCTCTTTTAGGTCTGCAATTGGCAGAAAGAGATATCATCGTGGCATGCGTTGATTACAGGTAATTTGTTTTAGTTAAAGCAGTACAAATTGTAATGCACGATTTCATTAACTTGCATATGGTGATCTATATGAAGTATTTGAAAGAAAAAAAATCTTGGGCAGTGAATCATTGATAGACTTGTAAACACCATGTTCACTGTGTCTGATTATTAGACCGATACATTAGCACATTAAAGTATTCTTTTCCTACATTAGCACATTAAAGTATTCTTTTCCGTTCAACCAAGCTGATCAAGCATGGCTAATTGGTTAATTTATGCCTTATTTTCTGTTTCCCATATAAAGAACCAGTCGCTGAAGCTTGAGCATGTTCCATGATCTAAAAGTAAAATGAACATTTGGTTTTTTATAGTTCGTTGTGTACACATTGAAGACTTGAATCATGTTACTCAAACGAACAGTTTACACATCCGTTATGTCCTTTACCCTGTAAGTGTTGATATGCAATATATGATTCTTGCAGAAACTTTCCCCAGGGTACCATCAGTGATATGGTGAAAGATGCTTCTCTGGGGATCTCATATGTCTTCAACAATGTAGCAGATTATGGAGGTGACCCTAGCAGGTGACAGTCTAATATTTGTTCTTTCCTTCCCTATACATCTCAAAACCGGTTGAGTATATATACATTTATTTATATGTTTTGGTCCTTTTGTGGTTGTTTTGAGTAGAATCTATCTAATGGGACAATCTGCCGGTGCACATATTTCTGCTTGTGCTCTCTTGGATCAAGCAATCAAAGAATCTAAGGGAGAGAGCATTTCTTGGAGCGCCTCCCAGATAAAGGCTTATTTTGGTTTATCCGGCGGGTAAGGTTTATTTGTTGCATTATCATGAATCAAGTGAAACTTTAATGAATATAGTTCGAATAAACTCAAATTCTAGAAACATGGATATTGGTAAGCATTGGATATGATAGTAGAAACAAATCTTCCCATCAGATCATGTACTTTTCCGTATAAACACTACAATCTGCGCTACACGCACAGCTCGTTGTAGCATCGAGCTGCAGAGACTGATGACCAGTCATTACTTTAGTACCATGTTGATAGATCTGTTGATTGACGGCAATGGATGGGTACACTAATTTTCTTATGTGCTCCTCACAGGTACAATTTGTTCAATTTAGTTGACCATTTCGATAGTCGTGGACTATATCGTTCCATCTTTTTGAGGTACTTACCAAATGACATTTTGCTAGCCACTCTTTGGTCTACTCCTATCAATTATATTGTACTTTTTACTGTTTGTTACTTCATGATGCTATTGTGGTGATGTGTCATGCAGCATTATGGAAGGTGAAGAATCCTTGCATCAATTTTCTCCTGAAGTTAAAGTAAAGGACCCAAGCAATAGGAGTGCCGTTTCTCTCTTGCCTCCTATCACTCTTTTCCATGGAACTGATGATTATTCGATACCATCAGACGCTAGGTTAGAATCCCTTAATGTACATTAATATGGGATTTTGATCTGTACAATACTAGTTTAGGCCTCGAAGTACAGACATCTGAATACGACTTCAACTTCTCCACAGAATATATCATGGTGTGATATTTTCAGAAACTGATGCGTCTTTATATGCAGTAAAGTTTTCGTAGACGTGCTTCAAAAGGCAGGAGCTCGAGCTGACTTAATACTATATGAAGGAAAGACTCATACAGATTTGTTTCTTCAAGTAAGTGATATTTCTGATGCAAGCCTTTTACAATTGTGACTGTTAAAAACTTACGGCCTCCATTTAGTACTCGTATTTTAGTGCACCGATGCTTGTTAAAGGTTCAAATTCTTGTAAGGAGATCTGAAGTGGGATATCACAAGTTCATTTCGGGGCATCTGACTCTTGGAAGCACTTTGCAGGATCCTCTAAGAGGCGGTAAAGACGAATTGTTTGACCATCTAGTTTCCGTGATACATGCTGGTGATAAAGACGCTCTTGAGCAAGATGCTATGGCACCTCCGAGAAGGCGGCTTGTTCCAGAGCTCTTGTTGAAGTTGGCACGCAGCATCAGCCCCTTTTAGGCCTTGTACACTTGTCAGTATTGATCACCAATTACGTCCATGCAAAGGAGAGGCTTCGATCAGCTCGCGGAGATCTATTTTTCAAAACACATTACGACATGTTTCTATTTCGACATTATTACAGTCACCTACGACATGTTTGGATTCAATTCTCATCCGTAGAAAGCCCCAATCAATCTGTGTTCATAACCGAAACAAACTTTTCTTACTAATCTCTCTCGAAGGGCACGTACGCGATCCTGAGTCTTGCGAAGCTTTCTCCATCGGTAGGCACTGCAGAAACCAGCAGCAGATTGGGGACTTGTGGGTTGCTGCAATTGTTCTCCCTTTTCCTCAGTTGCCATTCCTCAATCTTCACACACAATCGAAGCCACTGCAACAATGTGCATAGAACAGAGAGCCATCTACATTACAACACCATGATACACGAATATCTTTGAGAAATATGCACAAATACAACCGGTTACAAACTCCGAATCAAAAGTAGAAACACCAAACCAATAATAAGTCGTATATAAACCACAATTTGGTGCCACTTGATTGACTTCTCAGTGCCACTCAAGTTCTATTTTTCATTGAACTTTGGGTTCCAGTCGTGCTTATTTCCCATTACATTTCTAAACAAGTCCAAAACCAAAATAAAGATAACATTTTGGTACTCAGAAAATTACCAAATCGAAAACTTGAGCGTAAAACAACCCACCAATTAGCTTCCAAGAATCGAAAAATTGAAGTTTGCAGATAGATACCCAAATGAAGAAATCCAATGAAAATGACTGACTCATATAACATGCACATATGACTTGCAAATATGACTTTATGTATTCTCTGTCATTTTATTTTTTTAGCACAATATTTATAAATCTGGTAGGGAAATTGACGCTAAAAATGTGAGCTGGCAAAGAGTTCATAAAGAGTCTCACTTTGAGAGAGTCCCCTTAGCATATCTCATTCATATTTGGGTGAAATTGTGCTAGATTAATAACTAATTTTAGGCAAAATCATACTCGGTAACACATGTGATATAATAATTGTGATACCAAATTAACCATCTTGAATTTTTACCTTATAATTTTACTTAGAAGTGAGGGATTGAGGTACAAATTGAAATTTTGGATTTAATATCAAAATATCTCATGTGAGACTAAGCAAGAGTCTTGCAAGTCATTAATCTCTTATCTAAACAAGGTAAGAAAATAAAATAAAAAAACAAAAAACAAAAGTCAATGATTTCTCCACACTAGAAATATAGCCACAAATAGCTGCGGCGGCGAGTCCGCGTTGTTCCGTACGCCGCAGCACACCAATCATCTTCTCTCTCTCTCTCTCTCTCTCTCTCTCTCTCTCTCTCTCTCACACACTCGGAATCCGAGGCGTCGCAGGACTTCGATTGAAGCTGCGCAACGCCGCAGCACACCCAATCATCTTCTCTCTCTCTCTCTCACACACTCGGAATCCGAGGCGTCGCAAGACTTCGATTGAAGCTGCGGTGCTTCTATACAGAAACCCTAATCTCACTCAACTCAAGGTAATTGCACTCTTCAAATCCCTAATTTCGAGCCCTTTTCTATCAAGTTTCTCTTTTCCGTTTGGTTGCCGAGAAACCCTGGAATTTAGGTAAGGAAGTAAATTAGCTTGAAATGGAGCTTGAATCCGTTCACAATCTTGTGTCATTGCCTACTTGTTTCCATTTCAATTAAAAGTTGTTCGCAATCTTGTGTCATTGCCTACTTGTTTCCTTTTCAGTTAAAAAATTTCTTACTTTTTTGTGAAATTAGTACTAATAGATTGTGGTTTATGCTTCAACATTGGATTTTTGAGTTGTGGGGGTCTGGATATCTGGTTAATTTGATTTTTTTTTGTATAATTACTGTATTTTGATGGTGTTCCTGACTCTTGAAGCTCCAATTTTTTGTCGTAATCCTGGACATTTCAACTTAAATATCGAATTTTTGAAATATATTTATATACAATATACATGAGTGTGTTTATGTGTTGTGTTTAATTTACTAAGTAGCAGTATTTGAGTTCAGTATCGTACTTGGTTGGTTTTCTGATCTACCAATGATTTTTTATGTATTGCAGAGTACTTTCTGGGTGGTCTCTTACAAAAGAAGTTGCTTCTTCGTAAATATGGAATCCCAGAATTTTATCGGTCTCCTTGCTTCTGGTGATTCTGTCATCGAGAATGTGGGGCACGAAAGTGATGTTCAATATGAAGTTAAAGAAAATGGGGCGGATCTGGGGCAGGAAAGTGATGTTCAATGTGAAGTTCAAGCTAACGGTGAGAACCTGAGGCATGAAAGTGATGTTCAATATGAAGTTACCCATTGCATGCTGGAATCAAACCTTGAAAAAGAATTGGTTGAAGGTGATTCAGATATGGAAATTGAGGACATAAACAACCTCCCTGCCTTGGACAGTTCTCGTTCGGCAAATGTTGAAATCAAATTAGGGGGTAACAAGGACGGGGATGCTCATTGTATACTGTCTGAAACTGTTACAGTTGCAGGAAAGTCAAATGTTTTGTTCCCGAAGGTGCATGAAAATGGTTGCCTTCCGGTCCAAGATTCAAGTACCTTTAAAGTCCCCAAAAAGGGCGGCACTTGTATCCTTCTTCCACATTTGTTTTTTCTTAAGGTTTTCTCCTTGTTCATTTTCAAGCACTTTCCAACTGTGTAACTTTGTGGCATGTGCAAATAGGTTTACTTCTTCAACCATATAATGCAGTATGTTAAAATTAAGAATACTGAAATGTAGGTTCTCTTCATTGATACCATGATCTTTGAATTTTTGTTATCCGTAATTCAACATTGCTAGCTGTATCAGGTGTTAAGAGAGCTAGAATGACAGTTGATGAACATAAAGCTTCAGTGCATGTGACATATGAGTCGTTGACAAGGTGGGGTTGGATTATGCTGTCAATTTAATTACTTTTATTTTTCATATGCACTTAAGCATATATCAGTTATTTTTCATATGCACTTAAATGGGGTTGCATAATGTTTTCATATGCACTTAAGCAAAAAATACAAAGTATTTAGATTATGGAGTATATTTCCAATTGCAGTTTTCCATTTCTCAATTTCTTAATGAATTGTCATAATTTTTTTAGAGCTAGTAAACAAAAGCTTGAAGAACTATTACAGCAGTGGTCAGAGTGGCATGCAAAGCATTCTTCTTCATCTCAAGTAAGACTCCTCGTTTAGTTGGCTCATCATATTGAATACTTTATCTTGTGATGTCACTTTCCATGGGATGGATCATCCAAAGTGTTAAGTTTTAAAGAAAGATTAAGTTCCACTTTCTGTTTGAATGAAGACTCGCTCAAAATTCAGGGTGGGTTGAGTTTAACAATCCTGGGTTTTGGAAGCAATTTTGAACATTTGGCACAGAGAGGTGGCTTCGGCTTGTGAAATGCAGTAAACTTTGAAGAATGATTTTTGTTGTTATAATTCTGGTTATATGGCATGAAAGCAAGAGTATCTTAGAGAATGAGAGGTCTTCAATTGGTAGAGTCCAATCAATAAACTCGCTATTACCCTGTTTTGATTTGTTGACTAAAATTATAATGATGTGTTTTCTTGCCTTATTTTTATTTTTCTTTTGACTGCTGGGTTTATGATTACTTGTATCATGTGATCTTTCAGGATTCTATTGAAGTAGTGGAATCAGGCGAAGAGACCTTCTTTCCAGCTCTTCATGTTGGCATAGAGAGGACGTCTGCGGTGGTATGGTCCTGTTATTGTGTCTACTTTGCTCTATATGCATTTTGTGTGCTTGAGTTTGGGTGCTTTTCTGATTACTTATAAAAAATCTTGTATTATACTTAGCTGCTAAAGTTGTGCAGCCACTAGTTGTTATACTTGGTGACATCTCCTGATTTAGCTTTCTTCAATTTGTTAATTTTTCTGTTTGTCACAAAAACTAGAAAAAGGAATGTTTTATATAAGTTTCATTGTTTAGTACCATTTGTTAGTTTTCTGAAGTATTCTTTCATGTTCAGTCTTTTTGGATCGACAACCAAACACGGAAGGCAGATAACAACGAATCCAATATTTTGGATAACAATGATGTGCCCCTGTATGATCGGGGTTACGCCTTAGGTTTGACTTTGGCGGGTGGCTCAAGTAATGCGGAGGGGTAAACATTTTTATCAGTATTTTCAATATAGTAGGATCATGTTATTGGTTTTATGTTTTATGATGATGGTATTACTATATTTGTTGAAGGTTTTGTAGTTGGTTCCTCATTTTTCATGTTTTGATTTAATCCTTCTGATAGACATGTTTATGTCCTTGATCTTCTTGAGGGAGAAACCACCAGATAATTAAAAATGAATAATGAGTATCAAGAGTGAAGGGTGATTGGGCTCTGAATATTATTAGGTGTCTAAGTAGAGGTCTTCATTTAATCCTTAATCTCATCATGACATGACAATCAGGAGGCTTTGTATGGTAATCTGGTGGTGAAATGTTTGAATCCATTTCATGGTTGTCTTCAGCCTGACTTCTACGTATAAGCAAAAAGTTGTTTTGCAGATGTTTGATATCTTTCTTTCTTATTTTTATTTTTTGTTTCAGAGGCTTGGAGATTATAGATGATGCAAGCCGTTGTTTCAATTGTGGCTCTTATAGTCATTCGTTGAAAAATTGTCCAAAGCCTCGTAACAATGCAGCTGTCAACAGTGCCCGTAAACAGCTCAAGTCCAAACGTAATCAGAATGCTAGTTCTCGCAATCCAACACGATACTATCAGAATTCTCCAGCTGGAAAGTATGATGGTTTAAGGCCTGGTGCCCTCGATGCTGAGACACGGAAGCTTTTGGGTCTTGGGGTAAGTGATCACTCATTGTGTTTAATACAGAACACTTGTTATTGTCTACTGGTGTTCCTTAGAATTAAGAGGCAAATACTGTTAGTTGAACGTTAAGCCCCTATTCCAGATTGTATTATTATAGAAGCTTAATGATGTGCTTGCGGTCACATGAGTCTAGAATATTAAGAACCGATTTATTTATTAATTAATTAATTTATCTGCTTGTGTGCAGGAGCTTGATCCACCACCTTGGCTTAACAGAATGCGAGAAATTGGTTACCCACCAGGATATCTAGGTATTTGAATATATTTTACTGAATTGGCAGTCACTTAAAGCAACCGATTATAAATAATTGTTGTAGTTCTATCACAGAAGTACCAAAAAGGCAAAAAAAAAAAAAAAAAAAAACAAACTTGGTGAAGTGTTTTCAAATTTACATTCCATTTTGCCAATGACCAACCAAAAGGGGAAAGAAAGTAGTTAGGTTTTTAGCAGGGAATTGATCTGGCCCTTGTGTCCTCCGGCTTCATTTACTTTGTCAAATTTTTATTAGGCAGAAAAAAAGCTTGTGGGTCTGATTTGATGCATAATCAATGGAAAGTTGCTGAAGCTCTGATTAAATGGTTCATATGGTTGAAATGTTATATGCGGGATTAGGCTGTGCATTTGAAACATATTCGAATAGTACATGTTGAAAAGTTCAGAACTATTATTGCAATTTAATACTTGATTCTGGTACTGCATTGTTTGTGGCTGTGCAATGTGCATTTTGAAGAGATTACCCAGCATTAGCAAACGTTTGAGGTTTTTTGCTTTGTGATGTGTGGGATTTTCATATGCTCAGTTTATGGAGAGTACAACAACAACAACAACAAAGCCTTTTCCCACTAAGCTCAGTTTATGGAGAGTGATGTGCTAAAATCCTGGATAGCACCCTTGACCGTCCTGTTTTCTAGAAATATCAAACCTAGGTTTCAAAAAACTATTTTTTAGTCGTACTTTTAATTTATTGTACTTCCCTTTTCCTTTTAGATTTAAATTCTGTTTTGAAGTCGTAACACCTTGTCTTGGCATTTTTAGATGTAGATGATGAAGATCAGCCATCAGGGATAATAATATATGCTGATGGGGAAATTAAGGAAGAACAGGAGGACGGGGAAATTATTGAGACAGACTTTGCTGATCCAGCGAGGAAGAAGACGGTCAAATTTCCAGGAGTAAATGCACCAATCCCAGAAAATGCTGATGAGAGACTTTGGGCTCCTGGACATTCATTTGAAGATCTCTCTAGGAACCGTTCACACAGCAGAGTGAGCCATCATTCAGAACCTGTCAGCAGAGGGCATCACCGCGAGCAAAGGTGGTCCAGGGATTGTAGAGACGATGGGCCTCCTGGCGTTGATCCAGGTTTTGCGCCATCTAGTTACCCTCCAAGATACGGTAGCTATGATTACGGTTACAACTCTCACGGTTCAAGTAGTGCTTCAGCACCAAGAAGTCCTACCTTCGGAAGGTCCCAGTCAGACAGAGTTAGAAGAATCCCGTCATCCAATGAAGGTTCTTTTCCATACTCCAATTCTCGTCATTCACCAAAGAATTATGACTCGGGCAGTACTGAAAGTTGGAACGATGGAAGCAGGAATGACTACGACCTTGATCTTTCAACTTATAGTAGGGATAGGCTAGACAGGCATCGCCATCACCGCAGGAGGTAATGGCAATGACATGTAGCCAGTAGAGATGCTTACTGTGATGGATATAGGGATAGTTTAATCCAAGGAGGCAGTTGTACAAAGAACTAGATGTGATGAGTTTAGATGGCTCTGTGATCATCAGCTGCTGTTGTTGTATGTTATTCTCTAATTTAATGTACTCGAAGATTCCAAGTTCGAAAACTTTGTCGCTTTCGGGCCTCATCAACATTTAAATAAAAATAAGAATTTATGGTAGAGTGAAGTTAAGGTGCAGGGAGTTAGGGTTTTGTCAAGAACTACTATTTGTTTATTTAAAAAAAAAAAACCTTTTATAAGGGTTTTGTCATTAAATTCGTAGAAACTAAGGGTTTCCCTTTTCAATTATATGCCCATATTTCTCTTCTAAAAAAAATTACAGATAAACGCTTCAAACCCGATACTTTAGAAAAATATCTTTTAGAATTCTCAACTAAGAGCTAATTAAAACATGACAAGTGATTGGTTGATCAAATGACCGATTCATTTTGAGCGCTATTGCGCAATTTATAATTCCAATGGCTGAGTTTTTTTAATAGCAATAAATGAAATAACTTCACTCATCTGCTTCTAATTCAACTATACAAATTATTTGATGTGCAGAAAATGGCGCGGATATGAGTAGCACTCAACAAATGGATAGTCGTGAGACTTTTTTTTCCACAATTTTTTCTCTTGAAGTGTTTTTTCTAATTCTCTGACTTTTGGTGGGTGTAAATCACCTTTAATCTAAAATATATGAGTGCTAGAAAAAAAAAACAAAATTAGAGAAAAAAAAACATAATTATGTTGTAAACATTCCTAATTTAAGTGTGATTGTGTAAATCCTACGTTAGATTTGATTCTAGTTATCATTTCCTATTACAACTTGTATTACTTGGGGAAGAAGGAATATCTTCTCTAGGAGAGATAACAACACACATTCCCCTACAATTCTACAAACACATCTCTCTCTACCGCCGACCCCCTTAACCTTGTCAGATAAAATAGGCTACAACACGTTATTAGCAAGCTCCTACCGCTGAGCTTAGGAATCTGACGTTGAAGAATTTTTTTCTGCATCAAACCAGTTCATCCATATCATCACGCAATCAGGTTATTTCACAATGGTTTTTATCTCGATATTTTTGCAACCTTGATAGCATAAACATTCACTATAATGCATGACCTAACTTTACGTTTTTCAAATTTTAGATTCTACATAAATTGTGTATGCATTATATTCATAATTATTGAATTATGTGAATTTGATATTTGCCATGAATTGCATCAAATACATGTACATGCATTATATTATTGAATTGCATATGCTTTGAATTGAAAAAAAACAAAAAACAAAAAGGGGAAACCAAATCAATCGGTGCCGCTATGGTTCTTCGAACCCCCTGATCTTGCCCCACCAGGCTTGTAACTGGAGCCATCGGCTTCTGGCCTGACCCCAAGCAACTGGGCTTGGCCCTTTACTGGCATCCTGCTCCAGCTCGTTAGGCTTTGGAGCTTCCCCGGCCTAAAAAAAGAATTTTTTTTGGGCTCGCCTAAAGCGGCCCGCGTGAAAAAATAAATTTTTTAGCCTTTGGGTCTGCCTGTAGTAGCCCATTCCCTCGGCCGGTCCTCCCCATGAGCCTGCAGTCCTACCCAAGACCCCCCCCCCCAACCCAATTTTTGGGCCTAGGTCACACATATCACATTTTCTTAAGCCACCCGTGGGCTTATTATTTTTTTTGGGCCATGAGTTTTATTTACCTAATTATTTTATGCCTAATGTGTTTTATATTTTTTTCACCCATACTTTAATTTGGCCCGAAGTCCAAATAATTAATTCAATTATAATTATCGTCCTAAAGTTATATTTTTGCATATTCTTGTTGCATATTTCTGCGTATATATTTGTGTTTACCTGCAGGAATATATGAACCTGAAGTTCATAATTATTTTGAAACCTAAAGTTTCTTATAACATGCCTTGTTTGAAAACCTGAAGTTTTTCACTTAAAAACATCACCCATGAAAACCCGAAGTTTTTCATGCAAAATTAAACCAATACATGTTTATTAGAACCTGTATGTTCTACTCCTATGTGAATGGATTGATTTTTCTCCATTACACTAACCACATCTTGTCTATCTATTTTGTGATAGGAACATGTCGAATTTGAACAAACTCGACTTCACCACTTTGGAGGTCTCTGGAAGGAACTACCTCAAGTAGGTCCAAGATGTGAAGCTCCACCTAACTGCCAAGAACTTGCGTCCCGCTATTGAATAAGAGATGGACAACCCTGTTGGCAAAGCTGAAAAAGCCACCACTATGATTTTCATTCGAAGACATATCCATGATGCTCTGCAAACTGAATATCTTGTTGAGGAGGATCCACGTGCACTATGGGTCACTTTGGCTCGTTTTGATCACCAAAAAGACATATTCTTGCCTGAAACAAGACACGATTGGCAGCATTTGCACTTCCAAGACTTTAAGTCTCTGAATGAATATAATTCTGAAGTTTTTCGAATATGATCACTTATCAAGTTTTGCAACGAAACTTTGACTGAAGAGGATCTTCTGGAGAAGACTTATTCGACCTTATCTGCTTCTAATACTGTCATGCGGCAACAATATAGAGCTCAGAAGTCTACTAAGATCTTGGATTTGATCTTTGTTTTACTTTTCGCTGAAAAGCATAACCAACTGTTGATGAAGAATCATCAAGCTCGACCTACTGGGGTGACTGTTGTGCCTGAAGTACATTATAGCACAAACCAACGCCCAAAATTCCAAAAGAGGCATGGTAGGGCCGGCCAGATGCCACCCCACCAAGGTCAACTGAGTCAATGCCCATCCAAGGGAGGAAATAAAGTTCAGAAGCGCCCAAACCTCACTCCCAAGGCCCTAAACTTCAAGAATAAGGGCGAATCACCTAAAACCATGGATGTGGATATGTGATATCGCTGTGGTTTAAATGACCATTGGTCCCGTGTTTGTCGAGCTCCCAAGAAGGTTGCAAATGAATATTGTTGATGCACAAAACCGGAGGTCTTGGAACAACGTAAATCCGACTGTGAATTTGCAAGTAATGTAAATAACACAAGATGTATCGTGGTTCACCCCAATGTTTGGGCTACGTCCACACTGATTATTGTATTTATCTAAGAGGTGAGGGAGAGAACCTCTGAATATGAGAGGGGATATGAGAGGGGTGAGAAGGCTTCAGAAATGGCCTCCCCTAATTGTGAGGGTGATGAGTCCTTTTATAGAATAAGGGCTCCTCACTTATTACATATTTGCCCCTTCCTTTATTACATAATTACATTTAAGTCCCCCAAGTATTTGTACGAGATCTAAATACAGAGGCCCTAAATATGGTATAAACAAATATCATTCTCATCGTAACAAGTTTGAATCAAACTTCGTGTAAGTGGACGAACTAGAGACTAGAAAGATGGATGTTTTTGATTTTTAAGAGGATACCACCTCTATAGAATATTAGAATCTTAGACATAGACTTATTTTTTAGTTGAAATAAGACAATGGGGCCGAATTCCACCTAGTGGCCGAACCTCTCCTTTGTTTTGGTTGATTTTTGAACAATTTTCCTTTATGTTTGGATTATTTGTTGGTGATTTGTTTTTTGATATTAAGTTTTAATTAGTTACCATCCTTGAATAAATGAAATTATTTTGAATTGATATTTGTTTTTAAAGCTTTTATGCACGTGATGGATTCAAATTAATTTTTCATTCTAGGTATGACTAGTGGGAAAGTTAGTTGTCTAGCAGATAGTGCAACCACACACACAGTTTTGAGTGAATGCATCTATTTCACTAACTTTATACCTAAAAATGCACATCTAACAACCCTCTTAGGCCCATCCAACCTAATTGAAAGATATGGTAAGGCACGTATAATATTGTCCAATGGTACAATCTTGACCATTTCTGAGGCACTTTTTTCTCCACGTTCCGGAAGAACGTTTTTAAGTTTCAAGGACATTAGAGATAACAATTACCACACTGAAACCCACGTAGGAAACAGAGTTAAATTTCTGTGCATAACTTCATATGAATATGGCTAGAAGTGTATTCTATAGAAGATGGAGCGTATCTCGAGTGGTCTGTTTACTACAACCATATGCCCCATAGAATTCCACTATGTGGCCGGCCCTACTACTAGGACCGCACACGAAATTACACTTTGGTATTATCGTTTGGGACATTATGGACAGATAGCGATGCACTGTATCCTCAAATTTTCACACGGGCATCCACTAACCTGAAGTTTAGGTTCGATCCAAGGAAACACATGTCAAACATGTTCAATGGGAAAGCTTATTACAAAGCCTTCTTATGACAAGATTCGTTCGAATCTTCCCATTTTTCTACAACGGATTCAGGGGGATATTTATGGACTGATTCACTATCCCTGTGGACCATTTAGATACTTTATGATTTTGGTTGACACTTCCACACGTTGGTAACACGTGTGCTTGTTGTCCACAAGGAACGTTGCATTCTCCAAACTATTGGCTCAGGTTATCAAGCTTAAGGCTCACCACCCTGATTATTTGATCAAATTTATTCAATTGGATAATGTTGGAGAATTCTCATCTAAAACTTTTTATAACTATTGCATGTCGGTTGGGATTGAAGTTGAACATCATGTACCCCATGTTCACACCCAGAACGACCTGGTAGAGGCTTTCATTAAGCGCTTACAAATGATAGCTCGATCGTTGATCATACGTACCAAGCTCCCAATCGCTGCTTGGGGCTATGCAATATTGCACGCAACAAAGTTGGTCCGCTTGAGGCCTGTTGTGACACAACTATTTAGCGCCCTTAAGTTGGTTACCAGATACGAACATGAAATATCGTATATGCGTGTATTGTGCGGTATATGTGCCGATCTCGCCGCCCTTACGTACAAAAATGAGGCATCAGCGAAAGATGTGAATCCATGTCGAATATGATTCTTCTTCGATTATTCGTTACTTAAAACCTTTAACATGCGATATGTTTACGGCTCATTTCGCGGATTGTCACTTCTATGAGACAATTTTCTCGTCGTTAGGGGGAGATAAGAACGAATTATCATGGACGAGTCCCACTTTGTCTCATTTAGATCGCCGCACTGCTCAGTCTGAAACTGAAGTGCAGTGCATATTAAATCTCCAGAGCATGCCAGATGCTTTCATCTATCTAGCGCGCGTGACAATATCACATATTCCAGCTATGAATATGCCTGCAAAGATGGATGTACCTAATGTACGATGGACTTCCCTCTTGGAGGCCCATGACGCTAATATTGGTGATCCATGTACATTAGTGGCTAGCCAATCATCTGCTCCTACATAAAAACATGGCAGACCCCTTGGTTTAAAGGATTCACACCCTCAAAAGAGGAAATCCACATCACAAGGTCTTGAAGAGCCTACCGTGAATCTGATTATCGCTTACTTATTCTATCCACCTCATGAGGAAATTCTAGATTACGGAAGCGTCCTTGAAGAGACGAATCCTCATCCCAAGAATCGTGAGATTTCGGTCTATTATGCTAGCTTAGATGATGTGTGGCGTAGAAATGAGATAATTGTCGACGTTGCATTATCATTTGCAGTAGCTACTGAGATTATGTTAAGTGATGACATTGAACCGCGTTTCGTTGATGAATGTCGATGTAGAACTGATTGATCAAACTGGAAACAAACAATCCAAGTTGAACTCGATTCGCTTGCGAAACGTAAGGTGTTTAGACTTGTAGCTCCTACTCCTCCACATGTGAAGCCCGTTGGCTATAAATGGGTTTTCGTTCGGAAGCGTAACGAGAAGAATGAAATTGTGCATTAAAAAACTCGTCTTGTTGCACAAGGCTTCTCACAATGCCCCAATATTGACTATAACAAAACTTATTCACCAGTTATGGATGTGATTACTTTTTGCTACCTTGTCAGTTTGGTAGTTTCCGAAAAACTGGATATGCAGCTGATGGACGCAGTAACCGCGTATCTCTATAGGGATCTTGATATGGAAATCTATATGAAAGTTCCTGAATGACTTACATTGACTGGTTCAAATATTTCTAAACCCCGAAACATGCTCTTAATTCGGCCGAAGTGTTCACTCTACGGTTTGAAACAATCAAGAAGAATGTGGTGTAACCGTCTAAGTGAGTATTTGACTAGTCAGGGATATGTGAACAACGAACTATACCCTTGTGTGTTCATTAAGAAGTCACATTCTGGATTTGTGATTGTTGCAATATATGTCAATGACATGAATCTTATCGAAACTCCTGAAGAGCTCGCAAGAATTGTCATGCACCTGAAGTCAGAATTTAAGATGAAAGATCTAGGTAAAACTTGATATTGTCTCGGTCTCGAGATAGAGCATTGTTTGGATGTAATCCTAGTATATCAATCGAACTACACCCAAAATGTGTTGTGCCGTTTTAATGAGGATGAAGCGAAGCATTCGAGTACTCCTATGGTCGTTCGATCGCTAGATGCAAAACGAGATCCCTTCCGTTCGAATGAGGATGATAAAGAGATTTTGGAGCCTGAAATTCCTTATCTAGGTGCGATAAGCGCTTTATTGTAATTAGCTCAATGCACAAGACCCGACATCTCATTTGTTGTTAATCTTTTGGCAAGATACAGTAATGCACCAACATGTAGACATTGGATTGGCGTGAAAGACATCTTCTATTACCTTAAGGGTACTACAGATTTGGGCTTGTTTTATCCTTATGGATCCTCGAGTGATGCCACACCTTTTGCTTCTTGTGTCGATTCTCGCCTTGGTGGTTATGCTGACGCAGGATACTTATCTGATCCGTACAATGCGCGTTCTCAAACCGGTTATGTCTTTACCATTGGAGGCACCATAATCTCTTGGAGGTCAACTAAACAGACCTTAGTTGCCCATTTGTCTAACCGTGCTGAAATTCTTGCCTTACATGAAGCAACTCGGGAATGCTTTTGGTTGAGAGCAGTTGTGGGCCATATTCGAAGCTCTTGGAATCTTTATCCCGCCGTTGATGTCCTGACGACGATATTTGAAGATAATACAACACATATCGAACAACTTAATAAGGGTTGCATCAAAGGAGACAACACCAAGCACATTACGTTGAAGTTCTTCTTTTCACATCAACAACAAAAGTATTAGAAGATTGAAGTCGCGCAAATTTTTTCACAAGATAGTCTGGTCGATCTTTTTCACCAAATCATTACCGAAGACGACGTTTCAGAAGTTTGTTCATGGAATTGGTATGCGTAAACTTTCCGAGTTGTAACTTTGCTATTTCTCTTTGGAATTGTGTCAAACTCAGGGAGAGTATCCTAAAGATACTTGCTTGATCTTAATGTACTCTTTTTCCTTACGATTAGGAGCATTTATCCCTACTAAATTTTTGCTACCTAACTAGGTTTTAACAAGGCACCCACCTTGGGCTGGTCATATCCCTGAAGACATCTCGTAGACGTTTTTTTTTACTTTGCATTTCTCATACATTTTTCCTTAGACTATGAATTTTGTCACTACTCGGGTTTTTGCCATAGCCTTAGGGTTTTTTTTTAGTGAGACTTACTACTTATGCAAGTTTCTACCTTATTGAGAATAAACGTTGTTCCTTAGAATCAGTGCCGATGAGTCGACTTCCTCAACTTCTGCATGATATTAAATCTACCTTGAGTATTTACACACTCAAGGGGGAGTGCTGTAAATATTCCTAGTTTAAGTGTGATTGTGTAAATCCTAAATTAGATTTGATTCTAGTTATCTTTTCCTATTACAACTTGTATTACTTGGGGAAGAAGGAATATCTTCTCTCCCTTTACTACTATAAATAAAGGCACAATGCATGATGGATAACAACACACAATCCCCTACAATTCTACGAACTCATCTCTCTCAATCTCTCTTCACCGCTGCCCCCCCCCCCTTAATCTTGTCAGATAAAATAGACTACAACAAATTAATATATATTGTAATTTTTGGAACTAAATTATTTTGAAAATAACTTCTTCTTCAAACTTCTTCACTTATAAGATTTTATTTTTTGTCATCAATCCCTATAAAATATTTCAAACCAAAGAGAAATATTGGGCTTTGTTTTAGCAAAAAAAAAAGAAATACTTGGGCTTTTGAGCTTGGGTTTCCCTTTCTACTTTATTAGGGATTTCCTACCAAAACGATGGTGAAAAAAAGAGTTTACCTTACTATTTAAAATTCGATACTTGAGACCACACAGTATTTCGGTCTGGTGGTATTCTTCTTTATTTAGAAGTGAGAGTCTTGTGTTCGAATCTAGTGGATAATGAATTCGATACCAAATTAGGCTGCTCATAATGTGACTTAGCTGAACTCCCCTCCCTTTAGTGTAAAAATATCGATGTACTCGAAAAAAAATTTCGATACTTAAGGGTCAAACTTATAAAAATTGTGTTTTTACTTATTGATAAAGGGAACCCCAATGCAAATTCATGTTTGGGCAACTTAAGCACAACTGGAATCGAATATTTACTTGTTTACACTTTTTTCGCGTGACATTTAGACAGACAGAGTTAAAAATGAGAATTTGGGAATACACACATCACCAATCTTCTGCCGTAAAAGGTTTTTCTGTAAGTGTAGCCAGAGCTAGATATTTATCCGCCTATTATGCATCTCTTCACTCGTGTAGCGCATCAAGACTGAGCTAGATATTATTCATTTATTACACACCTCTTTACTCGCGTGGCGTATCCAGACGAACGGAGGTGAAAAGTGGCGTGCGGGTAATTTGGTAATATAAAACACCCTTCTCCTTGCGTGGGGAGTAAAACCTAGGTTTTTTCTTGGATATTATATAAGTATTTCGACTGACCGCTCCTGCTTAGTATTTGTCTCTCTCAAACATTCACTTAAACTATTCAATAAAAAGCTTCAGTGGGCCACCACCGATGGTAACGTCGAGGACGCAAACTTCAGCTTCAAGCCAATAAAGAAAAAGAGGAAATTACAGGTCTTTTTCCTTAAACCCTATCCCTCTTTATTTTTTCCAATTAGGGTTTTTCTCGATTTCCCTCCTCTTTGCTTCCTGCTGATTTTTTTAGGGGTTTCTGACTTCGTTGCTGATTGCAATTCGGCCGTGGCCGGCGGCGTTAAATCCCAATTCTTGTTTCCGACTCGCCGTTGATCGCAATTTTGTTGCGTAATTTGATGACTTATAATTTTTTTTAAAAATTTAATTGAATGGTTTTTTTAGTGGGATAATTTGAGCAGCGAATTGCTGAATTTTGGATTTGGGGGATTAGGGATTTTAGCTCTCGGCGAGGTAAAGATTTGTAATTTGTTGAAAAAATTGGGGGATTGATAATTGTGTTTGCAAATTGGCGATTTGAGCGAATTGATGAATTTGATTATTTTAATAGGATTTTGAAATTTAATTTAGTATAATGTGATGGTTTCGCGTGGAAAATCATGATTGAAACGTGGTAATTGGTAAATGTTATCAACCAGCAGCTGCATTGTTATCGAGATTATTATTTTGTGGATGAAACTTTAATAATTTCCTGCAGTGTTGATGCACACTCAAACATTCTGTTTGTAATTTTTCATACTAAATGTTTGGTAATTTACAGTTTCAGCATGAATGAAGTCTCATAAAATCAGCAAGATGGATGTACAAATATACAATTCAGAACAAACTCTTGGCCATATGCCAAACAACCCGGGGCTGAATTCGAGTCCTTTTTTGCCGGGAGGGGATAGTTTACGCCGTCAAGCATTAAAATGCCCAGTAGGTTACTTGAGGGATTGGCGCAAAGGTCCTAAAGTTATCCGCTTTCGTAATTTCGTTAGGAAACTACTGTAAGTCTCTTACAGCTCGTATTTCAACATAAGCAGATATATTAAACTACGCTTGCCTAGTCTTAAGAATTTGTTTTATTTGTTCTGACTTTTGAAATTCTTCCACAGTAATGAATACTTCTTAATACGTACCAATTACGGGTGTGGAGAGATGGCATCTGATTATGCGGCTGTGGTGGAGAACCAGCTATTTATGGAGGCTATTTCTGAGGTCTGCATTCACATTAAATTGAATTTAGCTTGATAAGTTTGTTATTTTATCTTTGTTTTTGCTACTAAATGGGAAAAACTTAATAGCCAATCGTGGCCATGCTATTGGAAATACCTTTTGTATTCTGATGCTTAATAATTAGTCCTTGTAACATGTTTTTGAGTAACTCGGTGACCTCATCAACTAGCTTCAAATTCTTTTAAGAAAAAAACTTGTTACTTGAATCGTGTAGGATATATTTTGCTATCTCGTCTGCCTGAAACTTTATGAATATGTGTTAGTTATCCTGAATTTTTCAAATTTTGATATATTTTAGGAGGAGTATGTGAATGTGGAAACATTATCTCATCGGCTGCAAAAATTACTCAACCTATATGATGCAAACTCCAGTCAACCAGCAGTTTCTGCAGAAACACCTTTCAACTGCTTGGGTGGTGCTAGTAGATCTGACTCCGTTTGTAATAATGCATTCATAGCTAACAATGCTGACGATGTTAACCTCATAAAAGGTGGGCCATTTGAACCGTCCATCATAAACATAATTAACAATTGGTTAGTTTTGGACATATTTATCTAATAGCATAATTAATTTCTCTTGCAGGGTTCCCTTTTAATGGTGATAAGCAGGGAGATACTAAAAGATTCATTACTTCCGATGAACTGGACATGCCTTGCCTGACAGGCCTAAGACAGGCTTCTTCTGAGACTGTTGTTCCTTTTGAGGATGCTTCAACATCAGTCGCTGCATACTCCAATGCCAATCAAGGATATCTGAATTACATTTCTGGCATATCATCTGATTGTCAGGTTCAACAGCAACATCTTGGCCATGGTATGGGTTTGTTTTTGGTCCCCAAATCATATAATCTGAATAACATTCCTGGAGATGTAATTCTTGATTCCATATTTAGCTACAGGCTATAACTTAGTATCTAAATGACATACTCCTTTGAGATTTTTGATGACTTTATTAAGATGTCTTGGTTTTGCTCTGAATTACTGTAGAAGTAGCATTATTGTGTTCTTATTATGAAACAACATAGTTGGATCCAAGGCCATATTGCTCATGCTCCCCAAGTTCTCCCATTTTACATTTGATAAACTTGCTTGCTATATTGTATGTTCACTGATCCAATATGTTCTCAAGCAGACTATTTGCATCTGTTTATCAACAGGCGTGCACTTATTTAGAGTTGTAAATTATGTTATTAGAGAATTTATATTTCTAGAAGTAAATATATTATATAGGAAAAGTGTAAAACATACTTGAGTTTAACTAGTCTATCCGCTCAAACATCTTCACTAAACCCTTTATGCTGTTTGCCTGCTTCTAACAAGTTTTTTTTTTTTTTTTTTGGTAAAGTTGGATCCTCTAAATTCGAAGGTCGTTTGGGGAGTAACCAGAATGCTCAATCGGTTGTTTTTCCATCCACAGAGGGAGAGTTTTCAGTGTTTTCCTCTTCTAACTTGCTGATCCCTCAACATGTTCCAACGGATGTTCCTGTAATCTCCAGAGAGATCTCAACTCTTGAGGATATATTGCAATCTTGCTCCCAGATGATAAAGTGTCAACATAACCGGAAACGATCCCTTCATCCATTAATGTGGTCTCAGGTGCCTCCAGTACAGTCACATGGTGCTCACCAGTATGCTTCAGATGGACCCAGTGCAGGAAACATTGAAGATATGCTGCCTTCATCAAAAAGGTTGAAGATGGGTAACAAATATGGAAGTAATCATCTATTGGCTCCTTCAGTTGTTCAACATTGTGTTCCTGGAGGACTTTCATATCTGCAGCAAGAGTCTAAATCTCCTACATCCATTAATTCTGAGGACATAGTGCAATCTTGTTCTCAGACGATAAAGTGTCACCATAACCAAAAACAATCCTCTCATCCATTGAAGCGGCCTCAGGCTCCTCCAGAACAGTCACATGGTGCTCAACAGTATGCTTCAGATGGACCCAGTTCAGGAAGCATCAAAGATTTGCTGCCCTTGTCAAACATGTTGAAGACGGATAATAAAAAAGAAAGTTCTCATGTATTGGCTCCTTCAGTTGTTCAAATTTGTCTTCCTGGAGGACTTTCAGATCTGCATCAACAGTCTGAATCTCCTGTATCTATAAGTTCTGAGGATATAGTGCAATCTTGCTCCCAGAAGATAAAGGCTCAGCATAACCGAAAACGACCCTTTCATCCATATTTGCAGCCTCAGTTTCCTCCTGAACAGTCACATGGTGATCAACAGTATGCTTTAAATGGACCCAGTTCAGGAGATATTGAAGATATGTTGCCATCGTCAAAAAAGTTGAAGATGGAGAACAAAAATGAAAATTACCATATATTGGCTCCTTCAGTCATTCAACCTTGTGCTCCTGAAGGACCTTCATATCTGCAGCAACAATCTGAATCTCCTGTATCTATTAACTCTGAAGTAACACATGTGGAGATGGAACCAGTAAATAATTCCATACAAGAATCAATGAGGATCAATGACGTTACAAAATGTGATTCTGACAATATCCTTAAACTGAACTCTGAGAGTGTGCCCATTCCTTCTGGGGAAGGATCTGCTTGTCATCAGAGGGAACAGATAGACCTTACTAGCAGTAGTGAGATTATAGACAATGTGAAAGAATTTTCTGGAAGAATGGGGTCGAATAGTTTCCATTTTTTCTCAGAAGAGCTTAAAGAGGGAACTGTGAGGACTGAGTTCATCCAGACAGAGCCAGAACCAGACTCTGATTTTGAGGAAGTAATAAAGCCACAGAATCCAGAAACAAATAGTGTCCTATTGACGGAACTATTTAAACAAGAGAAAATCAAGGAACATTTATCGAATCTTGGGCAGAGCATTGATAAGGTAATAATTTTATATTCATCATTACTACTGCTCCAAGAGTTTCAACTGTTTTTAATTGCCAAGGTTTTCATTCATTTAGCATGAAGGGTAATATTCTCATGCATGTTGTTTAAAACAGAGTATCTTGATGGAAGACAGAGAAAACAGAGAAAACAGTGAGAAAGTGTGTCAGTTGTGCGCATTAGGAAAGCTGTTTTTTGCCCCTGCACAAATATATTGCTCATGCTGTGGTCTCCGTATCAAGCGCGGTGTAAACTATTACTGCACACTAGACGAGCATAGTTCACGATATTGTTTTTGTAACTTGTGCTATAAGGGGTCTCGAAGAGGAAATATCTCATTTCATGGGATCCGTATCTCAAAGGCAACACTTGGTAGAAAGAAGAACGATGAGGAAACTGAAGAACCGGTAAGTAAAGTCATACTGACTTCTTATCTTCTGAGATCGTGAAAGTAATTACTTAATTACTGAGGCTTTTTATGTGCTTGCAGTGGGTTCAATGTGATAAATGCAAGGGCTGGCAACATCAGATATGTGCTGTCTTGAATGATAAAAGTGCTTTGGGAGGCCAAGCTGAGAACACATGTCTCAAATGCTTGTTAAAAGAAACAGAATGTGGGGAGCTCAAGAACTTACCAAAGAGTTCTGTTTTCAGTGCAAAAGATCTGCCAACTACCATGCTTAGTGACCATATAGAACAAAGACTCTTTAGGCGCCTCAAGCAAGAGAGAGAAGAGAGAGCAAAGGTCGAAGGAAAAGAGTTTTTTGAGGTAAGAAGTAATCTTCGATTTGGAATATAGTACTTTCAGCTTATCTGATTTATTTTTCATTCTACTGAGAATTTTATTTGTTTTGAGATTTGCGCAATTTTGATCACTGGATAGATGTCGTGAGATGAATGCCTAGCGATTAGGAATAATCAATTTAATCATGGGCAGCTTGATCTTTATTTTCTACCTAATGAAGTTGCTTGTTTTGGATAATCGTGTGTGTATCACCATACAGAAACGTTCATAATCTGAAGTCCTTTGAAGCTGCTTGTTTGTTATGTTTTATCTTAATGGGTTGTTAGGTCCCGGGAACAGAGGGCTCTGTTGTCTAAATGGTTTGTTCTGTTGAAAGTGTAAAAAGAATACATCCAATCTAATGAGAATAAATATTCTGCCTTTAAGTCACATGCTAATCAACTCAATCACGCCGGTTCAATGTAAATTAAATTTTGATTTGAAAGTCCTGTTTTGATATTCTCAAAGAATGTATCTACGGTATACAATCCTTTCTGTCTACTTATTGTTTATGTTTTGTTTGATGGGTTGTTAGGTTCCAGGAGCAGAAGATCTTGTTGTGAGAGTAGTGTTATCTGTTCAAAAAACACTAAAAGTTAAGCAGAAATTTTTGGATCTCTTTCATGATGAGAATTACCCTGCTGAATTCCCATACAAATCAAAGGTGAGACAGCTTTTACAATCCATAGACTTCTTTGTCCCACTGAATCTCCTCTCTTTCAGTATAATTGCTTGTTTGTTACAACTTTAGGAAAACCTAATTGGACTTTTTTCTTTTTGCATCCAGGTTATTCTTTTGTTTCAGAAGATTGAAGGAGTAGATGTATGCCTTTTTGGATTGTATGTGCAGGAGTTTGGCTCAGAATGTAGTCACCCGAATAAGCGTTGTGTTTATATCTCATATCTGGATTCTATTAAGTACTTCAGGCCAGAGATAAAAACCGTGACTGGAGAAGCTCTTCGTACGTTTGTTTATCATGAAATACTGGTAGTTACCTCTTTTCCCTATCATTATTTAGTCCCATGTTATTGCTATGTAAATCGACATATGTTTACTTTCATGTTCTGTTTTGCTATTTTTCTACAGATAGCTTACCTTGAGTTTTGCAAGAAACGAGGTTTTGTTACCTCCTACATATGGGCGTGTGCCCCTTTAAAGGGTGAAGATTATATATTACACTGCCATCCAGAAATGCAGAATATGCCCAAGCCTGAGAAGCTGCGGCAATGGTCTCCCTCTCACTCTGTCTCTCTCATATGTGTGTTTGTTTGTCTTTGTGTATGCATTTCTGCATATTTTCCTTCTCTGATTTTAACTAAGTCCCTTGTGCAGGTATCAGTCAATGATAAAAAAAGCAGCTGAAGAAAAAATTGTGGTCAGTCACACTAATTTATATGATCGGTTTTTTATCCCCACTGGGGAATGTAACTCCAAGGTAACAGCAACTCGTTTGCCATATTTTGATGGTGACTATTGGTCTGGTGCTACCGAGGATGCAATCAGGGCGATTGAACAAGGGATGGCAGATACACAGAAGAAATCAAAGAAAACAATAACAAAGAGAACTTTGAAAGCCATGGGGCATACAAATCCTTCTGATGGCTCTACCAAAGATATTCTTCTGATGCAGAGAGTAAGTATTCTAAACCTTTTCCTTTCTAATTCTTCCTACTAAATTGGTGGCTTAAAAGCTATCTTCTAATTATCTTATTCTTCACTTTGCATACTCTAGATGAAGCAACCTTGGTGGCTTAAAATATACCCTATCTAGTCAAGTGAGACCAGTGTGCGAACTCTGATAGATATGGGTACAAACAGAGCACAAACTAATGCTTGATTAATACGATCGCCTTCATTTTGATCTCCTACTTCCCTAGGGTGTAAGGAGGGCAATATATTATCTAGATTCTGTGGTTTTCTGGGAATATCTATTCCTTGATCACAATATCAATATTTGAGTGTGAGTGTTAGTCTTAAATTTCAACAATGATAACAGTCAATAGGTCTTCGGAAGAAATAAAATATTTACACGAGCATTGTCAATTGCGTTAATGCTATTAATAGATTTACCCTCTTTTTCTACCTGTTATTATCTCTCGATCTTATTTTGTTGCGTCTTCCTTTTTAGATGGGTCAAACCATTTTACAGAGTAAGGAGGACTTTATAATTGTCGACATGCAGTATGTTTGCACACACTGTCATGAAGCAATATTATCTGGACGACGCTGGTCTTGTGGTCAGTGCAAAAGTTTTCACCTCTGTGGAAGGTAATGAATCACTCTGAAGTCTCTCCTTCTCTTCCAAACTTTTTATGTCTCCTTTAATAAGAATGTTCTCATTGAAATGTAGTATTGTTCATCCTTCTTAGTTACCTGATATCTTATTTCCCAACAAGGAATGAGTGGGATGAGCACTACTACATAATTGATGTGTACCGTTTTATCTCTATTTACTTTTTGAATGTATATGTTGCAGATGCCATGACGCTGAGCGCAAAAATTGTGGACAGGACATTCACATCTCCATTAACATGGAACGACATGTGCTTTCTCAGGTGAACTTTAAACTTTATGAGCTCTATGGTATTCTTGTCCCTGTAGCAATGCATATCTGCAGACATGATTAGCCTTCCCAGTAGATAACTAAGCGAGTGGCAAAGGAAACATAAAAGTTTATACCAGTCAACTAGTGTTAACATCTACCAAGCTTAAAATAATATGAACTGGCCTAGGTACCAGTTTTACCAAATGCATTGTAGATTTAAATATATGCTCCTGTTAATGATTAGAGTGACATATTTGTACTTATAACAATTAAATCTGATTAATTCGTATGACTTTTGCTCTTTTCCAGGTTGTGGTGGAGGATATGCTTTCTGACACTAAGGACGAAGATGTTATTTCAAACAACAATTTACTTGAGAATAGGCATAGTTTCTTGAGCTTGTGTGAGAAAAAACATTATCAGTTTGGCACACTTCGCCGGGCCAAGTATTCCTCAAAAATGATTCTGCATCATCTCCATAATGCTACTGCGCTAACTTCTGGGAACACATGCAGTCTTTGCCATAAGGATGCTGTGATTGATCAGAGATGGGTGTGTGAAATGTGCCCAGAGTTTGATGCTTGTGCAACATGCTATCGAGAGAAAGGAAGCTCTTGTCATATTCATAAGTTGACTGAAAGTTCTCCCTCAGCTAGCCATAGCCGTACGACAGAGAGTCAACAGGCACCGAAAAAAGGATTTCTGGTATAAAAGTTATAATTTTTAATATTTCAACATTTCTTCGGATTTGCATGTAGTAGTTTTCATTTTTTCTCATGATAATAATATTATTAAAAATAATGATAAAGATAATATTCATCATTCCTTCTTTGCAAATAGTAATTTTAGTTAGCCAAAGGAAAAGTTGCACTGTGCGTGCGTGTGTACATGTTTTTGGAGATGTTCAGTTTCTTTCTCAGGTCATTATGCTTTGATTAGACTTATAGCGTAAACATGTGGTGCAGATAAGGGAACTGCTGGATGTTTTACAGCATGCAACTACATGTTACCCAACCAAGAGTCAGCCTTGCTTTTACCCAAACTGCCTCCAAATGAAGAAGCTAATCTACCATGCAGTCAAGTGCACAGTTCGGGCTTCAGGAGGTTGTCAGTTCTGTAAGAAGGCATGGTCTGGATTGATTTTGCATTCGATAAACTGTAGAAAACCAAATTGTACCACACCGCGTTGCATGTGAGTAATCTTTGCATTTAGCCACCACCCCCTCCACACAAAAAGGGGTCTTGCTTTTTTCGTTTTCATTATCTGCATTACCATAATTGCTCTATTTTTTGGCTGAAGGGATCTGAGGAAGTATGCAGAAGAGCGTCGGCTGAAGAATTAGTCAGGTAGTGAGCAGTGAAGGTTGCTAAGAGTTGATAGTCTAAAGTGTACAGAATAGGGCAGGATTGTCAACAGCAGCAGCCTAATGTATAGAAAGTTGAGCAGCAGGACAACTTCCAGCGTTAAGTATTGCAGCGCTCAACGATGTTGTCAAATAAAAACACAGTAAAATCTGAGTCTAGTACCAACCCCATGTATACAAACTTTGTGGCATTCCTTCAGACGGGTTGTGATTCGAGGGGTTGGTACGGTTCCAATACAAAATAGGCTTAGAAAAGGTATGCTTTTGATAACTGGTTAAGGCTCTTTCTGCAGTCCTTACCCCTTCCCTGAACAGAGTAGTTTTCGTGGACGTCGGTAGACGAGCACATGTTTAGAATTGGTAAATCAGAACCTCTAGTTTGAGGCAATGACAGTTTTTATGTGTTCTTCTCGTTCTTTAGGTTTCTGATGTAATCTTCCGGTGACTTGATCATTTATGTACTTGCACATGTAAATTCAATGTCGTTTATTAGTTTTACCAGAAAGAGCTTTGTTGTGATGTGTCTTCTCTGTGCTGTAGTTTTTTTAAGGAGGATTTGAGCTTGGAATCTCTTGTTTGTCAATCAGCCAATACTTCTGCGAGAATGACTCGAAAACAAGATAATTTTTCATTAAACTGTTGAGCGTCGAGCAATGTATTAGAAGGCCGAGGCGTGGATGAGGCATCCGAGGGGTAGCCTCATCTTAAATTTTTTTAATGTATATGTTTTATATATTATACATATAATTGTATAAAAAATAATATTTTGTATAATAAACATCCATTCTCAATTTACCATTCTCTACTTTGTACCTATTTGTAGCTGTATCTATTGTTAGTGTGCTTTTGCTCTTGAAATGCATTGCTACTTTAATGTGTTGTATGGTCTGAATATGCTTCCTATTTTTGGTACGAATTGCCATCTGCTGCTCGGTGAAGTTGAAAATGCAAAGCAGTACATGGTGTTTATGTAGTTTTGTGTTCCGAATTAGTAAAGGTGTATGTTTTATGTCATAATGTTACAATGTTGTTTATATAGTTTTATATATTTTAGTATTATATTGATCATAACCTTTGTATCTACCTTAAGAGCAGTTCCACCGTGGGAAAGCCCCCCAGGGCTATCCATTATGTAATCTACCTAGTGAACAGTAATTGCCTTTAATGAACAATAATTATCTTTTGCATCTTCACCCTTACACTTGAATAGCCCTGGCAATAGGTAAATAAAATAATAGTACTTTTTGCATCTTGCTTGGAATTTCCTGTGCACTCTCCACTCCCTCATGTCACTCCCTCTCTTTCCACTCATCTTTCTCACTTCTCTCTATTTTTCTGAAGTTCCTCTCTCTCTCTCTCTCTCTCTCTCTCTCTCTCTCTCTCTCTCTCTCTCTCTCTCTCTCTCAAAGCTCTCGACACTCTCACTCTCTCTAGAGCTCTGAGAGCTCTCACCCACTTTCCTCTTCGAAAATTAAACAAATCAAACCCCAAAACCATGAAACCTTAATCTTTGGGACTAAATGATCCTAGCTATACCGTTGCATGCATCATCGGACCATCACGGTGTAAACCACCATTAAAGCCGAGAGCTTCAAGATCTAAAACTCGAACCCAGGTGAGGTTCTCTATGCAAATCTTGTTTCATTATGTCTTAATGTTGCTTGGGACAAGATTTGTGATATTTTTCCAGTTCGAAACCAGAGGTTTAACCCCCTGCAATTTCTCTGAAACCTTGCCTAGTTTTTGGTCACCTCCTCGAAGCAAACTCCGGCAAGTTTGTGGGTTCTGGAGCTCTTCCTCAATTTGAATCCATTCCATGTACTTACATGCCTCTTTGCATGTGAAAATTAGTTGGAAATTACTAAGGTTTGACATGCATGCATACTGTTTTTCCCCATTTCCAGAATCCGGCAAAGAAACCCAGCCCTTGCAGGCCATTTTCCGGCAATAAAAAAGTGGCTGACGTCTGGGCGACGGCAACCTTACGTCACGTTGCCTTCGGGCTCTCGGGCTGGCAACTTATGTCGGGCCTCTCCCTTGGCCCTGCTTGGGCTCCATCGCTAGCACACGCTGGGCTTGCTTGCTCGGGCTCTCTGCCATTGTTCCCAGGCCTGTCCCTCGGGCTCCAGCACACGTTGGAGCTGCTCTATCCAATATTAAGTATTCGCCAGTAAGATCATCACACACAAACTATATAAAAAAATAAAATACAAAAAAATCAAAAAATAAAAATCGCAGAAACCCTAACCTTTAAAATTGTGATTTTTTTTAATAAAAAAAAAAAAGACAAACAAGGTGCCTGGATGCCTTGAGGTGCGCCTCCGTCGCCTCGGTGTCTATGGTGAAGCCTTCCGTCCATTCCCTCAAAACAAAGTGGCGGGAGCATTGACGACCAACCTTAGAGGACGCTTAGGCGAGCCCTGAGGCGAGCCTTCTAAAACACTGGCGTCAAGATATAAACGTTGGTTGTGACTAGAAGCTCCCGAACAATAATCTTAGTCTATAATTCATGAAAAAATTTAGTTAAATAAAAATAAAAATGACAAAGAATATCCTGAAATTTTGTCAAATTATATCGGCTCGTTGTTTATCAAATCGGGGTATTTTGATTTTTTTTTTCTTTTTACGGAAGTTTTTCACATAACTCCGCCTATGTAAGTTTATCTTACATTGCCGGTCCCAAGCCCGGGTAAAGGAGGAGGGGGAGGGCGTCAGGTAGTCGACAACCGGCACTCCACAGTTACGTCGAATCCTTATGAAAATGAATTCAGAACGAAATCGCGCTAAAGCTAGGGCGTCACCCATAAGTGGCGCGCTGTGTGGCCCGAGCACAGTGATAAGTGAGCAAGGGTAGTTGTATCTCCATAGGCACCCGGATGCAGTGTTAAATGAGCAAGGGGGCCATAAAAAACTTCTTTTCGAACGACTCCACTCAAAGTTGTTTGGGAGCATATGCACCTATCAACTTTACAAGGGACACACAAAAGAAGTACTTTGATTCCATTGGACGGGGGAGGGTGAAGAAGCTAGGACAGAAGGGTAGAGTTCAGGAGAGTAGAATGCGTTTAGGAACGTGGAATATAGGAACCTTAACGGGAAAATCTATGGAAGTAGTGGAAGTTATGGTGAGGAGAAGGATAAATATTATGTGCCTACAAGAAACTAAGTGGGTTAGTCTTAAGGCAAAGGATCTAGAAAACTCAGGGTTTAAACTTTGGTACTCGGGCACAAATAGAACGAGAAACGGTGTTGGCATCATCGTGGACAAGACCTTGACACAAGATGTTGTAGATGTCAAGAGGGTAGGAGATAGAATCATGGCAATCAAGATTGTAATAGGATAAGAACTTATCAATGTGAGGAATGTTGTAAAGCCTTATACAAGGATAGGACCGATGAAAATGGTGAAAGGTATAGAAAAGCGAAGCAAGAGGCGAAGAAAGCTGTGAGAGAAGCTAAGTTAGCGGCTTATGACGATATGTATAAGCGACTAGATACCAAAGAAGGAGAGTTTGATATCTATAAACTAGCTAGAGCAAGGGAAAAGAAGACAAGGGACCTAAACCAAGTGAGGTGCATCAAGGATGAGGATGGAAAGGTTCTTGCTACAGAGAACGCGGTTAAAGATAGATGGAAAGGTTATTTTCATAATCTTTTCAATGAAGGATATGAAAGGAGTGCTTCTTTAGGGGAGTTGAGTAACTCAGAAAAGTGTAGAAACTACTCTTTTTATCCTCGAATCCGGAAGGAAGAAGTGGTTGTAGCTTTGAAGAAGATGAAGCATAGAAAAGCAGTAGGCCCAGACGATATACCAATCGAAGTGTGGAAAGTTTTGGGAGAGACATGTATAACATGGCTCACTGACCTTTTCAATAGGATTTTGAAAACGAAGAAGATGCCAAATGAGTGGTGAACGAGCACTTTGGTGCCTATCTACAAGAATAAGGGCACGTACAAAATTGCATGAACTATAGGGGTATTAAGCTAATGAGTCATACAATGAAGCTCTGGGAGAGATTCATTGAGCATAGATTGAGGCAAGAGACACGGGTTTCGGACAACCAATTTGGGTTCATGCCAAGGCGCTCAACCATGGAGGTAATCTATCTCTTACGAAGATTGATGGAAAGATATAGAGATGGGAAAAAGGATTTACACATGGTCTTTATAGATTTGGAAAAAGCGTATGATAGGGTCCCAAGAGACATTCTTTGGAAGATTTTAGAAAAGAAAGGAGTACGAGTAGCATATATCCAAGCTATAAAGGATATGTATGAAGGAGCAAAGACTGCCGTAAGAACTCATGAAGGACAAACCGAAAGCTTTCCCATAACTGTAGGATTACATCAAGGCTCATCCTTAAGTCCTTACCTTTTTGCGTTGGTAATGGATGAGTTAACAGGACATATTCAAGATGATATTCCTTGGTGTATGCTTTTCGCAGACGATATAGTGTTGATAGATGAAACTCAGGAAGGGGTAAATGCAAAGCTTAACCTTTGGAGAGAAGTGTTGGAATCTAAAGGTCTTCGCCTAAGCCGATCAAAGACAGAATATATGGAGTGCAAGTTCAGTGCAAATGAAGCCAAAACGAGTTAGGGGTGAGGATCGGAGATCAAGAAATACCAAAGAGCGATCGTTTTCGTTACCTAGGATCTATCTTGCAAAAGAACGGAGAATTAGATGGAGATCTCAACCATAGAATACAAACTGGATGGATGAAGTGGAAGAGTGCATCCGGCGTGTTGTGTGACCGCCGTATGCCACTGAAGCTCAAGGGAAAATTTTATAGGACGGCAATAAGGCCGGCGATGCTGTATGGTACAGAATGTTGGGCGGTGAAGCATCAACACGTACACAAAATGGGTGTAGCGGAGATGAGGATGCTTCATTGGATGTGTGGGCACACAAGAAAGGATAAGATTAGGAATGAGGATATCCGGGGTAAAGTAGGAGTAGCCGAAATTGAAGGAAAGATGAGAGAAAATCGGTTACGGTGGTTTGGACATGTGCAAAGAAGGCCTACTGACGCTCCGATTAGAAGATGCGACTATGGGACAGAGGTTCGGGGCCGAAGGGGCAGAGGAAGACCTAGGAAAACTTTGGAAGAGACCCTAAGAAAAGACTTAGAGTACTTGGATCTAACGGAGGACATGACACAGGACCGAGCACAATGGCGTTCAAAGATTCATATAGCCGATCCCACTCAGTGACTTGGATTTTCCAAGTCTCCAACCGAGAAGTTTTCCTCACTCGGAAAATTAAGGGAATACTACCTTAACCTACATGCTCCACTCACAAAGCTTCAACATACAAGCTTCAACAAAAGAAAATTCAGAGAACTTAGCGAAGAAGGCTTTGGTGTATTTAACACAATACGTTGAAATGAAGGAAAGCTATTTATTGATATCCCCGATAAGTCACAAATATGTACATATACATGAGTCAAAATAAACAAACAAGAGGGAGCATTCACAAAGGTTGCTTAGGAGAAGTCTCAGCAGTCGGTAGAGCCCCAGAAAGAACAGGCACTGGAGGGGGATCATTTAGAGCCTCAGTATTGGACAGAACCCTAGAAGGAGGAGGCAGCAGAGGTTGATCATTTGGAGCTTCATTACGCGGTACAGCCTCAGAAGACGAAGGCAATAAATGCCTTTGGAACAAACCCACAAATCTCTGATGATCAAGTAAAACCTGACCATCAGATTCCTTCATCTGGTCAAGCTTCCTCTTCATGTTTGTAGCATAGTCATGTGCAAGCCGGTGCAACTGTTTATTCTCATGCTTGAGCCCTCTAATCTCCTGTTTGAGACTCATCACTTCAGCCGCCAATGATTCAACTTGGCGGGTTCGAGCAAATAGGCGTTGGGCCATGTTAGACACAGAACCTGCACACTGAACACTAAGAGCCAGAGAATCCTTAACAGCCAACTCATCAGACCGTTTGGAAAGTAGTCTGTTATCTTTGGGAGTGAGAAGGTTCCTGGCCACTACCGCAACGGTCATATCATTCTTCATCACGGAATCCCCAACGGTAAGAGGACCAGTAGGGGAGACGAATGATGGGCGCCATATGTTGTCTCGAGAAGGCGTGGCTGCCTCTTCAACAAGGTTCAAGTCAAAACGACGGTCGGAGGGGCCAGACATTTTCAAATGTGTTGAAGAGAGAAGAGGTCGGACAAATCAAGATCTTAGAAGTGTAAGAATAGAGCTTCTACTGGTGGAGATTCAAGTGTGCTTTGGAACTTAATGCCAGCCTCTATAAAAATCTGCACTCGACGGAGCTTCAGAAATCGAAGAGGCGTTTGCTTTCTCAAAAGCTGGGCTGCTCAGAGACCACGAGACGTTTGCTTTCTCAAAAATTGGGCTGCTCAAAGACCACGAAAGCCGATATCAGAAATCGAAGAGGTGCTTACTTTCTCAAAAGCTGGGCTGCTCAGAGACCACGAGGGTCGATCTCAGAAATCGAATAGGCACCTACTTTTCCAGCCTTGTCAGCACCTGTCAGCTTTGCGGAAATTATGGGCATTATGTCGAAGATTTCTGGTGAAGTAGAAAGCACATGAATCTTACTGTTCAATCACCCACTTCCCACACGCAACATTAGCTCATGGGTACCACAGATAACTTTGCCAAAGTTCTCTGACAAAGTTGAGACACGTGAAGCTTGCAGCTCCCACTACACCGCTCTGACCAAGAAGGGTAAAAGAATAGCAAAGAAACAGCACTAACAAAGTTTAGACACATAAATTTTGAAGGTCTAGCTACCATATTATTACCCACAAGGGTAAATGAACAGTACCACTGCTGGATAATTGGAAAGTCCCTGTGTGTCAACCTCTGTGCTTTGTGGCAAGATAGACTAGCAAACATGCCCAACCTTTTCTCACATTCGAGAAAACACTCCCAACAAGATTGCTTGCTCCAAAATCGAAGAGGCACCGCCCTCTGAATCTCGAGAGCCAGACTCCCAACATGATTACTTTCTCAAAAATCGAAGAGACACCGCTCTCCGAATCTCGAGAGCCAGACCCCTAGCAGGATTGCTTTCTCAAAAATCGAAAAGGCATCGTTCTCCGAATCTCGAGAGCCAGATCTCTGACAGGATTGCTTGTTCGAAAACCGAAGAGGCACCACTTTCCCAACTTCAAGAGCCGGATCTCCTTGGATAAAGCTTGTCTGTAATCTTTACACGCAACATCAGCTTTCCAGATACCACATACCACTTTTTCAAAGTGCTCTGACAGAGTTAAAACATGTGAAGCTGACAGCTCCCACTACCGTGTTATGACCAAGCAGGGTAAAGGAATATCATTACTACTTGTTGTTAGGGAGACTCCTATATATGTTGACCTCCATCCCCAACAAACAGGCAAAAATGCTCAACCCTTCTTCATATCTGAGAGGGCACTCCCAAAAAAGCCTTTCGAAATATTCAGCTTTCTTTCCCCCCAATAATACCTCTGCAAACAAGCTATACTAGAGCAAGAATATCTCATATCATCAGGGTTAAAAGCAAGAGTATCCCATATCATGTTTTTTCCCTGTCTTTTCCTTTGGCCTTGTTCTTACCTGCAAGACAAGGAGAAAGAGAGCAATCAGTCAACACTTGGAATCAAGCTTCCAGTCAGGAACTGACTGCCTGGAACCCCTTACTTGATTACTTACCTGGCATTGCTCTCGAGTACTCATCTTCAACATCTTATGCTTCCAGGGAAGATACCGCATCTGCATGAGGAACATATAGGGCAAGTGAGAAGGATACAAGGAAGCATGTGGAGACAAGCGTAACAGCACACGTGCCGATACATCCACTACTCTGTCAAAAGCAAAAGTATCCCATTTCAGCAGGGTCGAACGTACTATAGATTTGATGGACTTGTTTTGACCCTCAAATTCTTCAGTCGACCTTATACTCTGGAGGAAACCAGAAAACCCTCCAGCCCAGTTCAAGAATAAGCCTGTGGAAAGTTACTTCTTCAAAAGCAAAAGTATCCCATATCATCTCTTCTCATTTTCTTCTCTTTATCCTTCATGCTGCCTGCAAGATAGGGAGAATGTGAACAATCAGCCGGAACTCGAAATCAAAGTTCTGATCTGGGACTGATTGCTTGGAGCTTTGATTGCTTACCTTGTCTGTCACCTCTTTCAGCAGATCCCCTAGCTCGGCGACTTGGAGGACTCCTACTACATGGTTTGTATCGCGCTTGACCAAGCCTGAAACTACAAGTAAGCTTCAAGTGAAATTGATACATTACCTTGTGCATCTCCACCAGTTAAAGATACCACCCCTGGATGGAGGAAGAGTACTTCTAGAGAAGATGCCACATCTACCTACGAGACAGATAAGGCAAGTCAAGACGATACCACACTCCGAAACTTAGAAGTTTCGTGATTACAAGATCATTCTCCCACAATATTTTCTAATGTCATTTATATTAAATCATTCACTTGTACTCACTAAAAGAGAGCTTGAACCTATGTACTTGTGTAAACCCTTCACAATTAATGAGAACTCCTCTATTTCGTGGACGTAGCCAATATGGGTGAACCACGTACATCTGGTGTTTGCTTTCCTATCTCTATCCATTTATACTTATCCACACTAATGACCGGAGCAATCTAGCGAAGATCACAAAAAGCGACCGTTCTCGCTATCTAGGATCTATCTTGCAAGAGAACGGAGAATTAGATGGAGATCTCAACCATAGAATACAAGCTGGATGGATGAAGTGTAAGAGTGCATCCGGCGTGTTGTGTGACCGTCGTAGGTCACTGAAGCTCAAGGGAAAATTTTATAGGACGGCAATAAGGCCAGCGATGTTGTATGGCACAGAATGTTGGGCGGTGAAGCATCAACACGTACACAAAATGGGTATAGCGGAGATAAGGATGCTTCGTGGGATGTGTGGGCACACGAGAAAGGATAAGATTATGAATGAGGATATTCGAGGTAAAGTAGAAGTAGCCGAAGTTGAAGGAAAGATGAGAGAAAATCCGTTACGGTGGTTTGGACATGTGCAAAGAAGGCCTACTGACGCTCCGGTTCGAAGATGTGACTACGGAACAGAGGTTCGGGGCCGAAGGGGTAGAGGAAGACCTAGGAAAACTTTGGAATAGACCCTAAGAAAAGACTTAGAGTACTTGGATCTAACGGAGGACATGACACAAAACCGAGCGCAATGGCGTTCTAGGATTCATATAGCCGACCCCACTTAGTGGGAAAAGGCTTTGTTGTTGTTGTTGTTGTTGTTGTACGGAAGTTTTTCACAAAAGTACAAAAAAAATGATTGAGGTGGACAAACTCAGCGACCACTTCTATCGATTTCAAGTCTTAGGGATAAAAGTGAGAAATTATGTAAATCTCAGACACTATTTTAACTAAAATGCCATAACAAAATGAATACACATAGTAGGAGAGCAGTATGGTCAGAATCGGATCCCTTATGGACCCAAAGGAACTGAGCCCACTTATTAAATGATCCGGGCCATTGAAATTTGATCCAACGGCTACAAATAAAGGGCCCTTCTAAAAATTATGATAATTGTAGCTGTTGGATAAAATTTCAATGGTCCGGATCAATTGATCATTGGGCTCAATTCCTTTGAGTCCGGAGGGGATCCGGTTCCAGTATGGTCAACATGCCAAAAAATTCAATAAAGAAGAATGGTCCTACGTGAACTAAAGCTGACGTGTCATATCTCAGTTGAAAGAAAGCCTGAAGGTCATTCGACCGCCACCACCTTCGTCGGTCCGCGCAGGAAACAGATCCAAAAATCGAAATCCCCAAAATAAATCCCCCTTCTTTCCCTGTCAAAACCCTAAATTCTCCATCCCTGAAAAACTTCAGAGCTAAAGGAAGAAGAAGAAGAAATGGCGGCGGTTCCGGTCGTCCGGTTCCCGATCTTGAGTGCAGTGAGGGTTATAGGAGTGATAGTGGCGACTCTGGTGCTCACGTGGAACGTTCATTTCCGCGGTGGATTGGCTCTCATCTCCGATGACAAAAGTCTTATTTTCAATGCACGTCTCTGCCCAAATCCTCATTTTCTCTCATTCTCTTCTTCTTAAAGTTCTAATCTTGATTTTTCATAATTTTTTTATATTAATCTGTTGGGAAATTAATTTCGAATTTTGTTTAATGGCTGATGGGTTTGCTTAGTTGACTTGTCCTGGGTACTGGGTTTATCATGTAATTTGTTTTAAAGCTTAATAGTTGTCAATTTATGCAATACTATGTTTCTCTTCTTTGCTTATATCTTAAGCTAGTTCCGTGTGATCCCCGCTCCACTCAAGTTCGAATCTTCATTCTCGTAGTTTGGATTAGATTATGATATCGTCCCGATCAAAGAAAGCTCATTCTATTAAATTTTTATAGTTCACTATCATCTTGAGCTGGAAATTGATGCTTCTTTGGCCAATTTCCTGGTTGTTTGATCTAGGAGAAATTTCTCTTTGTAAATTAAGCATTTGGTGCATTCCCATTGCTCTCTCTCTCTCTCTCTCTCTCAAATTTATATGTTTGTTGTGTGTCTTGTAGGTGCATCCAGTATTAATGGTGATTGGGTTGATACTGCTCAATGGAGAAGGTAAAGTTTCTGTTCTTAGGGCACTTGGTCCGGCATCTAGTTACGGATTTCTCAATGATGCGTCTCTCTCTCTCTCTCTCTCTCTCTCTCTCTCTCTCTCTCTCTGTAATCTTGCCTTAAAGTTATTGTGTTTACCTTGGGTGATTGTGTCCCAATACAATGAGTTCCTAGAGCATGCCAAGGATGATAATGATGAGTTTGATGTGTTTGTGGAAATATAATCGTATCGTATGTTTAAAATGTTCTTGATGGATTTTCGATGTACACCGATACTTTTCTTTTTCCTCCCTTTCGCAGAGTTGTGAGAGAGCAATAAGTATATTTTTTGTTCGTCTTGTGTTTCAATTACAGGTGGTTTATTTCCTTTGCTTTAAAATGTGAAATAATTCTATAGGGGATTCTATGGAATCTGTGAAGTTATCGACTACCTGTATGTTTACCAAAAATTGCAATGAATTTGAACCATCCCATGTTTCTACGATGCAGCCATGCTAGCATACAAGACGGTTTCAGGAACAAAAAACTTGAAAAAACTAGTTCATCTTACACTACAATTCCTTGCCTTTTGCGTAAGCATCATCGGCGTATGGGCTGCTTTGAAGTTCCACAACGATAAGGGCATTGACAACTTCTACAGTCTGCATTCCTGGTTGGGTCTAGCTTGCCTATTCCTCTTCACCCTCCAGGTACCTTTATAGTTACTGTTTTTCTTTGCCTGAGAAGATAGCTTGTACTACTTTTTTTTAGCCAGTTTTCACCGAGGTTTTCTTTTTCCCAGTGGGCTGCTGGATTTGTAACGTATTGGTTCCCAGGAGGCTCGAAACACAGCAGAGCTAACTTGCTGCCATGGCATGTATTTTTCGGTGTTTATACTTACGCCCTTGCTGTTGTTACAGTAACTACTGGTATTTTAGAAAAAGTCACCTTCCTCCAAACCCACCAAGTAATCTCACGCTATTCGACCGAGGCTTTGCTCGTGAACTCTCTCGGAATATTGGTCATTGTTCTGGGAGGTTTTGTTATCCTTGCCGTTATTACTCCGATGAATGATAATAGAGGTGATGTTCTCAGAGGACCAATAGAGTAATCACAAGCTGCTCAACTGTACTGACTTTAGTTCACAAAGAGGGCAGAATTTTACCCTAATATATGGATTACAAGATTTTGTTACTGTCAAAAGATGAGTGTATTAAAGTAACAACTCCTTTGTTTCTTCCTTTCTCATCTGTTATTTGTTTATTTATTTTTGCAAAATGGTTATCATTATTGGTTCTTTGCAAAGCAAGGGTAAGGTTGTGTGCGATATAAGTTCCTCCCCTCACCCTCGTAAAGCAGGAAGCCTTATTGACTTGGTCTCCCTTTTTGGTTATGAGTATTCATGTCTTGGTTTATTGGTGGCATGATATGGCATTTGGAGGTTCTATTTAGGATAATAGGGTGGCAATTTCAGACACGACTCAAAATCTTCGTTGGTTTGGGACGTTGCGCTTTCGTTTTTAAATAATGATCTGGATTTGTAAAAGAAGAAAATTGTATAATCATCCAGTTGAGTTCTTCAGATGTAAACTGTAATCAATGGCAAGAGACTTGTAACAGAAGTGTTACAAGAGCTTTCATATTTACGCCTGAGGTCCTCTGCTTGATTCTCTTCCTACTCATATAGCTTTGTATAAAATTAAATGAATAGAATTGAAAATCGAGATGGCGTATTTTTTTAATTTATAATTATTAAGGTGAGAAGGAGAGTTCAAAACTAATACAATAATTTAGAAGATGACAGAGTTTCGAACATGTGACGCATTGGTGAAACTCAACTCTCCATTGGCCAGTATATTGGACCACATGCAGAGCCCGGTCATTAAAACAGACCAATACCACAACTTCTTGTGTAACATAAAATTGAAACATCTGACTTCTGTCTCAATCTATGGCCACGAAAAAGCCGAAACTTGTGTCTCAATGACTCAATCCACAGACGGACACAGACAAGAGTGAGTGAGATCAAAGGCTAACAAAAAAAAAGGAGGAACTTCTGGCTCTGGTCTTCTTGTTTGCTAAAGGCTGCTAACTCCGAATCCACTGATTTCAGCATGCACATATAATTTTGAAGAAAACTCGCGAACCATAAGACCATTTCCGAGAGGGGAGTTTAAAATGATCACATCCACGAGTGTTCTCTTCTGTATTCGCGCACAATGACGGGCACGCTTGTGGGCGGAACCTAACAGAAGCACAAAAACATACGCGTCATCAGTCTTTTTCCTAATGAGAATGAACAGAAGTAATCTCATGAGCCATGAGTCGTCGTGATGACTTGCAAGTTCAGAATTTGTTGCAACAAGAAGAAAAGGACTTACCATGCCATAATCCGTGATTATCATTGAAATGTAATCTGATGGCAGTGCATCATAACTGCCAATGACAAATTAAAACAGGAGTGCACGGTTACTATGGGGAGATTAAAGCTGAGAATCGCGTTTAGTGCACAACACAACAGAATAATAAACACTTTACGAACATCAGATTCAGCGGTTGAAGATTTTCACAATTCGCGTGACCATCCAAAGGATTGACTTCCTCCCTCCCAGGAACCTTTAAAATGACATCTGGATCACCTGCAAGAAGAACAATTACCTGAGTAACCAAGGAAGCACTTCTTATAAAAACTTTTCAGAATGACCAAAGCTCTATGCTACGAGTGCATACCGAGCTCGTTAGAGCATATCGAATCAAGCTGTACCCTTTCATGAAACTTATATGCCTCACAACATACCAATACAGGTACACGGAATGCATGAGCTACCATAGCAACACAAGCAGTCCCAACCCTTGAGTAAACTGTTCCATTAGACAGCACTGAAGAAGCGCCTAGAAACACTCGAGTAACTTCATGCATGATATAGGAAGCAGCATTTATATGAGTGTAAGTGCAGCTGAGGCCCTTTCCCACCAACCTACGAAGTAAACGCTGTCCTTCAAGCTTCGGACGAGCGTCTACCACCACAACGCGAAACTGTTTGCCAAGCTCATGGGCATGCAATAGCAACATTTCAACTGCAGAGGATGACCCGTACGTTAGAAGAACATCACCATCCCTGATTTTGCTAACTGCATGCTTGACTATCACGTTATCAGCAAGTATAATCTTCTCGGCTATGAACCGATCAATATCTGACTGGAGAGATGCTTTTGCTTCTGACTCGGACATAGTTAAAGGTAACTTGGCAATTCGGCTCTTCAGAAACCGAATTGCATTCCCCATGGTGATTGAAAGTGGCCTGCACTCACTGAAAAATGAAACGTAACTACTTATTTTTGCTGTCAAATCCCTACTCAGGTTTTTCTCTGGTGGCGTCGAATAGTCTTTAATGGCCTCCTGAAGTGCTAGAAGCATGGCAATACAACGAGCATTACCACCCGATATATCTCCTGATAAATACTGTAACCCAACCTGACATTCGTACAAAAAGCTACAATTAGATAGAACCATAATCTCTTTTATAGTCACATTAACCTCTCGACATCATCAAGCGAAAGGCTCAAACCATAACGAGCTGACGTAATCATCTAAATACCTTATAAACAGCAGGATGCACAGGGTCAAGTTGGAAAAACTTGGACTCGAGATCAGGAAGCTGAGTTCCATGCTCGTATTGAGGCAAATGCCTGAACAACTCAACCCTGTTCCTGGCCTCAGTTTGCTTAACCACCGACCGCCTTTTCGCCTTCTCCACACGACTCTTATCATCATATTGCATTCGCGGATGAGGAACTTCTTTCTTCCTCTCTTTCTCCGGCGGACGTTCACTGCCACCACCTCCGCCACCGCCCTTCTTCTCAGATACCGCCATAGATGATTGTGACACAAGTTTCGTGGCCTTAGGCGGCTTCACAATTGCTGCTGCCGAAGCAGAAGCAGCAACAGAAGGTGTTTTACCTCCATCAGCTAATAACACAACGCAAGGAACAAATTCATAATCAACATACGAAATTCGAATTCTTTGAATACAATTACATTTCTATTAAAAACCACTTGTGAATTAGTAAAAGCTGGAAAAACATACCTTTGGCAGCAGCCTTAGCTGCTCGTTGAGCTTCCTGAAGGGCCCGCCTTTCGGCTTTCGTGGTTTTCTCTTTCAGTGGCTTCGAATTCCCAGCTCGCTCGCCTTGCACTTCCGTTGATGCATCAACATCTTTCTCTGCAAAAGCTTCAATCTTTGTTTCTTCAAGCTTAGCAATCACAATATGCCTGAGCTAAATTAAAATCCCAAATCAAATCAAAGTAATCGAACAGCAATCAGTAATTACCAGAAATCCCAGAAGGCATCTTGACCACGGAGACAGTCATCAACCCACTCGCGGGGACGCTACTCGCCTTCACGGCAGCCGTCAGATCGAACCCTCCACTAGGAAACGAAGAAGACGTTGTCAAACCCCCAGCTGCTCTTACTCTTCTGAATGTTCGACCCGGCGACATGACGACGTCGTTCAGGAACTCACCATTCCCCATCACAATTCCATACGACGACGACGCAGTAGGAGGCGAGGCGGGGAAGAGCTCAGAGGAGTTGTTGTAACTCTCGACGAGTACAGACTCTCGGCGGGCCGGTGAGGCAGGAACCGCAGGAAAAAGAACCGGACGGCTGGTATCGGAGGAGTGACGTGGCGGGGGGATCATTACCGGAGAGAGGGAGTTACCGGAGGGGGAGTTGGAGACGGGAGGCGAGGAGGAGGCGATGGGGTCGGGCGAGGCGAAGAACCCGACTTGTCGGACCTTGGGGTCGCTGACTGCGCGGGGAGGCCGGCGAGGGTCCATTTGGGAATTTGTGGGTGTGGAGTGAGGGTTTTGGGGGGTGGGGAGAGTGGGTTTTAGGGTGCGGAGAGAAAAGTTTGCGGGGTTTGGATCGTTGGATTTGATCGGAGAGGGGAGGGAGAAGAAGGGAAGCAGCAGAGAAATGCAGAGCGCGTGAAAAAGAAGTGGGAAATTTCCCTTGCGTAACTGTTGTTTGACGTTTTTTTTTACATTATCGTTTGAAAGTAGGAACAAAAATTGTGATGGCTTCTGCCATTGAGCATTATGCACAGGGCCGTTGACGATGACATCACAAGATGCTAAAAAGATTCTTCTACTTTTTCAAATTTTGTTACTTATGTGAGTAACAAAATAATCCACATCTAAAAAAGTCTAGATCACTGGACTGTAACGCTTGTGATATAAAAAAAGCAGAGTTAAGAATGACTTTTGTAGTTTGTATGGCCTGCACAAATGACATTCATATAAAAGACTCTTTTTAAGACTAGCTTGCGTGAATAGGGACGGTTTTTGTTAAAATTGTTTTTACTGTAAACTCGTTGAATTTTTATTCAAAATGATTTTTGTAAAAACGTTTGAAAGTTCTCTCTGAAGAAGCATTTGATACGTGCTTCTCCACAAAATGCTTTTTATGAGCCAAAGCTCTAGTGTTCATCCTTGCATTTGAGATCATGTGTTTGTTTTCTTCTTCCTCTAATATCGCACTTGTATCAAGCGAAAAAGTGTACACATGCAATCTGACGTTCATATTGTACCCATTCACCAATGGGAGCAATGCAGAAGGATAAAATGGGAGTGGAAATCACTATATCGTTTTAAGAATGTTTTGATGAGCAACATTTAGTAATCAAAATCCGAAGCAACGTGAATGGAATAGATATATAAGGATTCTGATAGAAACACACATGGCCACAGTCAACATAAAAGAGGGGAGCTAAATTTTCAAAAATAAATTGAAGTGCCAAATAGAGGAACTGTTACTGGATAGAAGATACCCAATACTACTACAGAGTACATGTAACACGACAACATCAATGCCTGGACCTTTCTACTCACAGTGCGACAGACAATCAAATTTTAAGAAACAACGTTGGCATCGAAGTATAAACCCATGCATGACAACCGCATTGTTACAATCCTCTTCTTTTGGGAAGGAAGTCTACGAGGATCACATAAAGCTTGGGGCGACTGGACCCTTTGAAAGTCCAAGGCGAACTTCCATTGCATGATGTGTGTCCACAGGCCGGAAGGTTTCTGATTCCCGGGGGTCTGCAAATAGCACAATGAAACATACAAGAAACCAAAACACACAAAAAAACATCAGTATGCGTTTCACTCGCTAAAACGGCTCCATAATACAGCTAACCAACCAGGCAGACCAGACTTTTCTGGGGAATGACTCAAGAAAAGGTGATTGATTTAAGGAAAATTGGATAATCTGGACTTCCTCGGTTTTACTAAGATCGACTGACCTTCTTAGAAGCTTCGGCTTCTATAAGTATGCAAGTTCCAAAATATAAGCATACTAACTGCATTTCAGGGATCAGCATGCAATTAAAACACCATAAGCCATCTAGGGGGATAAAACTTCACTAGTTTAGAGCAAAAAGTGATATTTCCACTCAAGAAGAAGTTTCAACTCATTACTTACTGATCCCTAATTGTTATATTTAGCATCTTGAAGATGTATAGAAATTAAAAGAAAAATCAAATTACAGAACGCAAACTCATAATGACATCAACACTACTTAAAAACGAATTGATCAGAACAAAAAAAGCTGCATGTTTCTAACTCATGGGGCTTACTACGGATGTTTAAACGAGGCAACAAGAGGACCCTGGTTGGTGACCTATTTACAAAGAGGAATTAATAAGGCTCCAATTGATCATAAACATTGAAGGAGTTCAAACAAATAGTTCAAAGAGAAAACCAGGAACAGTTAAAGCTTCAGATAGCAAGATTATTTACTAGGTATAAGAAGAGTATTTTCTTACCATTCAGGTAATCCTCAAAGCCAAAATCATCCAATCTTCCAGTCATAGCCTCCAAACCCAACATTGAAGAAGGAATTGGTCCAGCAGGCCTCTGGAATCTGCAGTTGTTTCAAAGAATAGAGTACAAATGGTGACTCGGAATTAACTCCAATTTTACACATTTATGCAGTACCCAAACTAGCATGCATTGGTGTATACAAACTAAAGCAAATAAACATTTGGTGTTTTAAGCTCCATCACATACAATTACATCCACCAATAATATACAGACTTTAGAGGAAAATCGGACTTCAAAACAAGATTCTGTAAGCTCTTTCTTACACTCATACTCAGTATGGATATTTGATAAAAATAAAAGCACCTCAAATTGATAGGGAGCTGGTGTTATAATCAACTCAATATAGAAGATACGAAAGAACATAAGAACACAAATTTCCATCATCTTATTCCTAATTGAATCAGTTTTTTCATCAATGAGTGAGAGATAACGACCCAAACTGGACACAACCTAAGAGCACAAACTGTACAAAGAGATTAACACCTACACAGACAGAACCACCAACAAAGCTCTAATGCAAAAGTTTCATACTGAAAAACCCTTACGATACATAAACAACAATCCCACAACGATTCCAAACAAAATACGTAACAGGGTTTCGCATAAAAAGGCGGCGTATATACAAATACAACAAAAGAAAAAAACCCTAACTTTTCAACATAGCAACACATGTATACTTCCACTCAATCATATAAAATAAGAGGAACCCATTACAACAATTCACAAACACAAGTCAGAATTCGACAAAAACAAAAGAATCGCATACCGAGAAAGGATTTGCCTTTCAAGATCCATCTTCAGTGGAAACGCACTTCCATAAGTGTACCCCAAGATTTTCCTATTTATCTGCTCCTGAGTTACCTTCGCCTAAAACCCAACAAGTAAATTAACCCAAATCAACAAAATTTAATCACACATCTTCAATTCCAAACAAACAGCAACGCAAATCAAGAGACATAAGAAAGCAAGAGAGAGAGAGAGAGAGAGAGAGAGAGAGAGAGAGAGGAGAAGAGAGAGAGGGAAAATACCGATTCCAAAGCAGATTCGAGAGGGTGAGCGCCGACGAGGTCGCTCTTGACGCCGTGAAGTCCGAACCGAAGGGCATCGTTCTGGATTCCTCCGATTTGGTGCTCGATCGTCTTCGGTGCCTCCATTTTGCTCTCTCTGGTTCTTCCTTTACTTCCTTCTTTTTCAGCAAGCAATGTATTTTGTATAGCCTTCGTTGCCAGATATAGGGGGACTGTTTACTTCCGTCAATTGGGTTTTTAGCTACGAGCCCATGTAGGCTTGATTCAGGCCCATCATTTTTACTGAGTTGGGCCAAACGGTAGTTGTCGGGCGTTATGTGCAACGTAGAGAATCGAATTTTAATTTAAGAAAAATTAATGAAAAATGCTTGAAAACTTTGAGTTTTAACGATAAGGACAAAATAAAGGGAAAGTGATTTGACTTTTTAGTGTAAAAATGTGGTTTTTCGTAAAAATGAACAGTGCCGTGGACTTTTCGTTAAAATTCCCTTTATTTTATTCTTCGCATTTGTATTTGTGAATAGACTAAATGAATGACAACCTAATTGTCACCTTAAAAGATAGTTCAAGCTCTTCTCTACATCACGCTAATCACGCTGTAAAGTGAAGTTTTTTGCACTCGAGATATGAACAAAGGAATCATGCAGACACCAATTTGATATAAAAATCACTAAATCTAAATAACTAATGTTGACAATGTACCATACAAATTAGTAAGCAAGTCAAGAAACTACCATTGAGAATAAAAAGATTCCACTTTTATCTTCCAACATTCTGAAAACCTATAAAATAGAAGATAAATTTCAAAATTGTTAGGAATACAAACTCCCAAAACCTGTACATGCTGATTGAACCACTAACTCACTCAAAATATTTGATTCTGATCGAATTTGGATCCTGATTTCTTCCTGGTTTCAAAAAGACGAATTAACATAATCAAACCATATCAATGGTGTTCATACTTCAAAGATGCCTGTGCAATACAATAGCATTAGGAAATCACACTTCAACACAAATCAACTGAACAAATTATAAACTGCGCAAGCTTTTCATCAAAATCACAAAAATCCAATGCAAATCATTTATGCACATATGATATTTGCATTTTAGGACTTTCACCTTTAGCATTGCTAATATCACTTGTTATTTTTGGGTAGCAATATCACAAAACATCAATTTTTGCATCCAAAATATAATTTCCTACATGAAAACAGCAAGAAGAAAATTTAGTCCTACTATTTTGTTTTTATTATTTTCAGCTAGTTGTAGATTTTTTTGTTTGAAGGGTTTTATAGTCTAATTATTTTTTGTGAAAACCTTAAGACACACCAAATTTGACTTCTGACTTTCTAATATTATAGATTAGAGATTTTGACAAAAAAATAAGGGTAAAAGACTATTTACTACCCTCATGTTTCGTGGTTTTCAACATTTAGTACATCAAGTTTTTTTCGTCTCAGATTCATACCTAAAGTGTAAATTTTGGGACAGTCTCATACATCCGTTAGTCAAACTGTTAAGTCTCCCGTTAACTGTGATGTGGCGCACTGACTGGGCGCCACGTGTCATCCACATTTTTTTTTCTTTCTTTTTTCTTTCTTTTCTTTTCTTCTTCTTCTTCCTCCGACTACAACTTTTTTTTTTTTTTCTTCCTCCTTCTCCTTCTTCCTTCCTCCTTCCTTCCCTTTCTTCCCCTTCTTCCTTCTTCTTCCTTCTCATTCTCCTTCTTCTTCCTCCGAATATGGGGAAGCTTTTTTTTTTTTTCTTCTTCTTCTTCCTTCTCTTTCCTCCTTCTTCCTTCTTCTTCTTCTTCTTCTTCCGACGAATCTACGCAGATTCAGTTTTTTCTTTTTTTTTTCTTCTTTCTTCTTCTTCTTCCTTATTCCTTCTTCTTCTTCTTCTTCTTCCTCTGAATCTGCCCAGATTCAGTTTTTTTTTTTCTTCCTCCTTCTCCTTCCTCCTTCCTTCCCCTTCTTCGTTCTTCTTCTTCCTCCGAATCTGGGGGAAGATGAAGGTTTTTTTTTTTTTTTTTTTTTTTTTGAGGAAGAAGAAGAAGAAGGAGGAAGGAAGGAGGAGGAAGAAGGGGAAGGAAGAAGGAGAAGAAGGAGGAAGAAGAAAAAAAAGAAGTTGCAGTCGGA